CCCTGGGCTCAGATATTGGCCTACTCCCCCGAGAGACACCCGTCCACCTCCGCTATGGCATATTTTGGTAGGTTAGCGGAGAACAGATGCATTAGCATTTGGCACAGAACTCACCTGGCCAGCTCTCAAGAGCTGTAATGCAACAATATGCGGCCACAGTAATTGGAAAGCAATGCACAAACACACAAAGGCTGTTGTTCTATTGCAATGCGATAATCAGTTTCAGACCCGATTGGCATGGCTTGTATGTGTGCACACTCGCTCTAATGTCGCTGCCTCTCTGCTGCTCCTCTGTCTAACGCTGAGCCTAATCAAACTAAAAATTCACCACGCACGGGCACGGCTTAATACCGTGTTCAATACGACGCATACACTTGTGTAGCGCAGCGGCGTACACGAGGATTTCCCCTCGCTCTCGTCTCAGACTTTCACCCACACCAATCTGCACGGCCAGCGTGCTGGATGGCGCACGCCCGTGATCCAGTACGAGGGTTGGTGGATCACAGAGAGATTTGTGACGCTTCCAAACCCGCCGAAATGCGAAGTAACCAGGAGAAGGCGGTACAGCAAGTGGACGTTTGAACCAACTCGTCTGAACGGATCTCCGGGTACTCTCCCGTCGTCCATGTGGGTGTGCTACATGCACTCGCCGTGCAAAACGCTCGTTTGTCAAACATCCGCAAAAAGAGTCTTGAGAGTCGGCGAGGCTTTCCTGGATAAATAAATGACATTAACACGACCTGGCTTGTTTAAGTATTTTTCGATTTAAAGCATTCGTGACTGCAGGGATTCATATTCTTGGTTCTTTCGGTAAAGTCACGTTATTATTTCCCTTCTACGTGACTTTTCCGAAAGAACCAAGAATATGGATTAAGTATGTTGAACTTCTGCTACCTTTTAAACAGCTGCACGCAGCCTCAATGTCTAACTTAGTCTTGTGTAACTGAGCCTGGTCTATTTGAGCCTGCTTATCTAAGCCTGGGTCCTATCTAGAGCAACCTTAATAATAAGCACTTGCGTGCAGCACTTGACCCAACAATTTAACAATTAGATCCTTGTGTGTGTGTGGGGGTGGGGGGGTGAGGGGTGCTGCGAGTGCTTGCGTGCATGTGGAGTGTGTAGCGAACTTTCCTCTCCACAACCTTGCAACTCCGCTTCCAAAGCCGGGTGCCCAGTGCCAACAAGGGGAGCGGGGGTGGGGGGCTTCGTGCGTCACGTCCGAGCAATGACTCACGGCACGGTCTGAGAACGCCGGGGTTCTCACTCTCGCCTGCGTCACGTGACCTCGTGCCCCTCGCTGCCTGTCCGCCTCGAGCCGGGACGTCCTTTTAATCCCTTTCATCATTGTGTAGCAGCCAGGTCTGCGTGGTGCACGGTTGGCTACGTACGGTGCGAAAGAAGTGCAGCATACATACGATTTGGTGAGAACTCAAAGAGACGCGGGTAAGGGTCCCATTTGCAAGAGGATTCATTGGGTTGTGAAAATTCCACAATTCCCACGGTGTGAGACTGGTCTCCCCAAAGGATAACCACCGTTGACTTTGCATCGTTGTACTCATTTTATTGACCTCAGAGGGATGATGTGCTGTGCCGGTGCCTGAACCTAGATTAGATTTTTCTTTGAAAAAATTCTAAATCGTCAGAAAATAGTGGCAATTGGCAATTTTATACCAAATACTGTATGTGCAGAAATTGCCTTACGCTAAAATTTCAACTGCCCTTTTGAACCAGCATGGATTTCATTAAAACAAACTTATTTTAACAGTGATTGAACACTTTGTGAGAATTGACTTTGAAAAAGCAAGCGCACAGCAGCATACATAGATCGTAAAAGTGTGCAGTCGTGATTATGATTATTCATGTTCATGAGTTTGGATAAGGGTGGGTATTTTTACTTTGACTGTGAACTCGACTGCCTGTGATTCTGCAAACTGCCTATAAACTGTTAACAGCTTGTAAAACTGTCTAAGTGGCAGTAAAATATTATCTCCCTTTTGGCAGAATAATGCTTTCGTTTCTCTAACCAGCGTCATCATAGCTAACATGGTATGCGGCTCTGTGAGTGTGCAATTACTTGGCGCGCGTATATATCACAATGAAATTCTGTCCACAGCAAATCATTGTAAATATATCGCGTTGCCTTTCAAAAAAGTTGCGCAATTCGGAATAATTATTTTTTTTTACTTCCCTATTTTAGCTGTTGTCATAATTACGTGCAGATCAAGGTCACCGGCTCAATCTCCCTGCTCGGCAGCTGAAATATTGGACGCGTTTTTAAAGCGCCTTTACCGCGACCTGTCCACCCAGCAGTATACATGGGTACGTTGGCCGATTGGCAGGTCGTGTGTAGTGGGGTAAAGTGTGGGTACTCCCACTCATCCAAGACGTCTGACCAGCGTGGAAGAGTAGGCAAATATCCACGAGAGGGGCACTCGAGAACTTTACGTAGTGGAGGCCCTTCTGCCAGCAGCGGCGGGAGCAGGCAATTGCAGGGCTGTACCTTTACCTGACCTTTAACTATTTTATGTTGTCATAATGAACCGAGTCAACCGCTGACTGGGATTTTAACTCGCGGAAGAATGACGGAGGGTTAACAATTGTGTCACACAGCAAGATAGTCCAGGGTTCGATTCCCAACTCGGATGGCTTTCTGTATGGAGTCTGTATGGCCTCCCCCTGTTCTGTATGTTGAATTTCTTTCACACCGTACATCGCCAACCGTGCTAATCGGAGGTTCTGCTTAGGTTTTGTCCAGATTCCCCAATGTTCTACCGTATCAAAACACAAACCTATAATGTCATTGGTATTGGCCAAATCACATCCCAATATTGAAAAATTAGGGGACGTCCAAAAATGACGTCACGCGATTGTTGACCCCTCCCCCCCCCTTGTCACACGGCGTCACAAAAAGTCAGACCCCGCCCCCTCAAATATGACGTCACAAAGCTCTGCCCCCCACACCCCCCCCAAAAAAACATGCCTCAAATCTCTTTAAACTATTGTCATTGTAGTGCGTATTTAATGCGGCGCTGCACTCTGATGTTGTAGGAGAAAACTTTTATTAGAAAGTCTATTTAATTAAGTAGAACGTGTTGTCTATATCTATTTAAAGTTGCGCAATTTGATATGACGTCACATTTATCGACCTCGTCACACATCGTCACAAATATCTGCCCCCCCCCCCCACCAGGTGCGTGACGTCATTTATGGACGGCCCCTTACCTGCACATTACTAATTTGGGATCAAACTCATCAGCAGCAGAAGCAGCAACGTCCCCCGACTGCTAAAAATCGAGACTCGGTAACGTTTTCCTGGGTAAGGGATCGTAATCGTTGTGGCAAAGGTCAACCATGCTGGGTAAAAGTCAACCATGCTGTGTAAAGGTCAACCATGCTGGTAAAGGTCAACCATGCTGGGTAAAGGTCAACCATGCTGGGTAAAGGTCAACCATGTGGCAAAGGTCAACCATCCTGGTAAAGGTCAACCATGCTGGGTAAAGGTCAACCATGTGGCAAAGGTCAACCATGCTGGTAAAGGTTAACCATGCTGGGTAAAGGTCAACCATGCTGGGTAAAGGTCAACCATGTGGCAAAGGTCAACCATGCTGGTAAAGGTAAACCATGCTGGGTAAAGGTCAACCATGTGGCAAAGGTCAACCATGCTGGTAAAGGTTAACCATGCTGGGTAAAGGTCAACCATGTGGCAAAGGTCAACCATGTGGCAAAGGTTAACCATGCTGGTAAAGGTCAACCATGCTGGAAAAGGTCAACCATGCTGGTAAAGGTCAACCGTGCTGGGTATGGGCGCAAGAATCGTAGCGCCACACCCGATGGACCCCACACAATTTGGAAGCTCCCCCCTCCCCAAAGCCAGCACAATCACTCACGATTCGGACGATGTTGCTGATACGCCGGCCATCAGCTCACCTACAAACACCATTCCATGGCTCCGTCTCTTACGCGTTGCAATCGCCGATGGCCCCACACACACACATCGTCTCCAAAATGCATCGGAACCTTTCACGACATGCATCGATTTGTAATTTCCCACCCGCCACTAGATGCCGCTACACACACACGCGCACACACACACGCGCGCGCGCGAGCGCACGTTAAACACAGCAATCGATGATCGAATCGCGGATCAACAAAGGCGATGGGAGCGAATCCGGGACGTGTGTTGCTCGTCGCTAATTTCACTTAATTTCGCTTCAGCGCGCGAAGACAGCGCGCGCTGAAGCGTGTGCGTGCAATGTTACATTCATCATCGCAACCATCACCGCCGCGTCTCTGCGCTGTGCATGCCCCCGGCTGCCGACGCCTTATCGCGGCGTAGCGAGCGGAATGGCCATCGCGAGGCTCCCCACCACCCACCCCACCACCACGGCCCGTGAGGCGCTCACTCCAAAGCGTTCTTCTCTCGCAATTAGTCAAATTTCAGCCATCACCGCGCGCTGCTCATCAAGGCGGCGTTCGCGCCAAAAAAAACGCGGGGCGGGCGGGCGGGGGGCCCCAGGTCGACCCGCTCGCCTAATTAGATGTTAATGAGATTGGGCCGCGTCCCATTGGTCGGTTTGGAACCGCCACCTACGGACTAATTAATATTCATGAGCTTTGCGCTGATCGTTGGCAAACGGGAATTATCATAAATATTCATTGGATACGCGATTTCTAAAGGATCTCATTGGTACTCGCCGTATTAATATTCATCGAGTTAGCAATGCCCGTCTACCATCATTGGTAGGCGCGTATCGCAGGGTTAGATAAATATTCATGAGGCACGTCCCACTAAATCCCCGCCTCCGCCGTCACGCACCCTCACGACTCCCCCCCCCCTCCGCTCGACTATTAATGGGCTCACCCGGCGCGTGGCTTCAGTGTGGCGCGCGCGCGCGCCGAGCGGGCACCGAGCGGAGCCCTCGCGCGCGACAACCCCGGGGGGCAGGGGGCAGGGGGCGGGGGGGGCAAGCGGGGCAAGCGGGGCCCGGGGGTGGGAGAAACCATTGAGGCGTGGAGGAAAGGGGGGGAGGTGTCTGTGTGTGTGTGTCATGGGCTGCACGCTGTGCGCACTGCGCTCCAAGGACGAGCAGTACAAGCTGCTGTATGAAGTTTGCCAGGTGAGTCCGGGGGGTTGGGAGCTTCTGCCGATTTCTAATTCGCGGCAGGAGGTCGCGAGGCTGCAGGCGCGGGGCTTTGAGTGAGAAGCGCGGCACGGCGGGGCCCCCGTGCGCTGCAAGGGACGTGGCCGCTATAAACTGATGTATATGATTGCATTGGCATGGATGCTCTTGATGTGTGCTAGTCTTGGCCGTATGTATATCAGACACCGCGTGCAATCCTTTTCTGCTGGACGAGGGCCTGTGCGGTTTTGTGGTGGTGAGGGGTTATTTGACCATACTTCACCGCGTTGGTCAATGCTGGGTTGTGTAAAGGCCAGGCGAGCATAGAAGTACAGCACAATGACGGATACTGCTGCTCTGCTCACGCGGCCTTTATGAGCCAGAGTTTATTTTTTTTTAAATACTTGCAACCTGACGTACATGGCGCGCATCCATCCACCGAAGCACTACCCAGGATCAGCCCAGCTTGGCTTCCGAGACGTGTATAGTGTGCATGCTTATATAACATTGCTCGCCTGTGCTGCATAGCTGCATGTATATTATATTACACCGTCACATTCCCGGGACAGGTGCCCAGGCAGCGTCCCCCAAGAGGTCCGACCACTATCGTGGTCCGTTCGTAGAGCGTTATTTAGTTTTATCGGCCCCGGGAGTGATGATTGGCTGGATTCGAGCTTGCGTTTTGTTGATGTTACACTGCAGCCACTATGCAGAAGCGAGGTGCGACATTTTGTGCATTAATGTATAATAAGGCGCATATATGTTAATAGACTGTACGGCTGCAGCAATACTGTCTGTGGCATCTCGTGCTCGCGATGTGAATGAGCACTGGAGAGGCTTTCATCCACCAGCGGATGGACCGCGGTCGATTATGGCGTGTGGAGGTTTTCATCCAGCAGTGGAGAGCCCCTGCATTAATGTACATGTCACAGCGGCGTGTGCAAGCAGACTGCTGATGCGTGTAACGTCTCATCGCGATGGGCAGCCTCGTGTCAAACCGTTCACAATAACAGCTTGGAAATGAACAGTTTTTTCAGAGTATTGTAAAACAAAAAATATATCGACGTTTCGGCCTACTGGTCTTCCTCAGGTGTACATGCTGTACCTGGAGTATATGCAGTGCACTGGGCACAGGGGAGTGAGTGGAGTGTGGTGGTGGTGGCAGGTGGTGAATGTGGGTGGGCGCTCCTACACAAGTTGTACCATTGTGAATGCATGTAACTGCAGTGTTGCACATAGGTCGTACCCACGTGTGTTTTATGTGCAGTGTTTAACAGACATGCAGTATTACATGATGCATCTTCTGTCGTCTGACCAAAACCCTCAACATTCGTTAATGACATTGTGGCCTTTAAAAGATAAATATATTATGGCTGACGTTCCGGGCACTGGTCCTTCTTCCATAGCACGTGATAAGAGAGGCACACATAGAGCGGGTAATGAGAGTTGCAGACTGCCCTTTACATATTTGGGTTGGGATGAATAAGAATGAATTAAAGAAAGTTTTGCTGATGATGAGTTTTTAATTGGCATCTGAATCATTCCCTATTAGGAGCTATTGAGTAACAGACGACTCCTTCAATAATCAATAATTAAATTTTGACTTAAAGCTTTCGTGACTGCAGGAATTCATATTCTATGGATCTGTCGGTAAAGTCACGTAGATAGAAAAAAAATAATAACAATTAAATAATAAAAATGAAAATAAAGTGAATAAAAAAATATATCACGACGTTTCGATCGCAACACAAGCGGTCGCTATTTTTTTTTCTATCTACATGACTTTACTGAAACAATCAATAAAATGACTAAATATAATTTGCATTAAAAGTAATATTGTAAAATGATGCTGGGACATTGCAACTACTTTCCCTACAGGAGTGCATTCACTGCAGGGTTGCGAAGCAGAGACCACAACTCCTTTTCAAAATCGATTACCACTGTCCAAAAGAAGTCACGAACCGGTAACCGTCTCCAATGGAATGTTGGTCATGAATGCGCTGGTTTAAGACACTTGCACCGTTGCTTAAACTACGGCGCGGGGACATGGAATCAAACCTACGACCTCTGAATTGCGAGGCCAGTCCGCTGCTCACCGTGCCGCCACTCTGAGAGCTCCCTTCGTTTCTCAGCTCGGAGAATTAAAGCTGAAAATTTTCAAATGTACGTTTTCACGACCATTATTATACCGAATCATAATTAGTTACTTTTGTATTAGATCGTGAAGGTATAATGCCAATTTTTTTCAATATTGGTTTTGCCCCAAAAAAACAAATCATTTGGCATATTTCCCCATGGGGTCACAGCTTCATTTGTTGGGCCCTGTCGGGTGGTGGATGGTTATCGTAAAAAAATATTCCATACCAACATAATCCAACCCCAATAAAAAAACCTCCTGAATTATAAACCTGCTAAGTTTATTTCTCTTGACATTTCTATCTTTGCGGCAAACCAGAAATGTAAAATAACTGATTTTAGCAACCCCGGTTTATCGTGGTGTTGTGATTATTGTTGTGTTCAGTGCGCAGCTAGTCCTATGCAGTACAATATGCACGCAGTTCTAAGTGCTGCTTGTGTGTATGAGTGCATTGACAATAAATGTGTTCACTCAGCAGCAGTCCAATGTTAATAGGCACACTGTGCATGCAGAGGCGATCTGTCTGCCAGTGTGTCCGTGGGGTAGCTGACGGATCATTTGCCCCAGTAAATGCTGTTCATTTCAGTATAAATGCTTGGAAAAATCGAAATATCACATCTCCTTACATGTATCCCCACCTAAGGGCAGAATGAATACAGTGTTTATATTTTGGACACGGTGAATGGGAATAATAAATATTCTATTTTTTGTTCGTTTAAGTGGAATCATTTCTTTTAATTGTAAACCCGTGTGTGTGTCAGCATGTGTCATGCAAAATATATTACTGTAGTGTGTGTGCAGGAGTGAGACATTGTCAATGTCTGTGGGGAGCGCTAGTGTAGCGACTAGCACGCTGTGCATCAAACCCGGCCCCCCAAGTTCGATTCCCGCTCACGGCCAACACCAGTGATGATTATCTGAACAGGTCCTGGGCCTCCCCTAGGTCGACTCAGCCTTAAAATGAATACCTCGTGTGGTGTTTAAACATCATCACTGGGGAGACAAAGGCGGCCGCGCATGGTGAAGGCCACCCACCCCCTTGAGTGCCGTGCTGGCCTTCATAGGTGCTTGCTAACGGCACTTGCCCCAACAGTTTGTTCAGGCTATACGGGGGATCATTGTGTGTGGGCAGCGGTGGTGTAGTCACTGTAGTGGTTAGTGCACTGCACTAGGAACCTGGCGACCCGAGTTCTATTCCTGTTCACGGCCAACACCTGTGACGATTATCTGAATCGGTCGTGGACCTCCCCTAGGTCGTCTCAGCCTCAAATGAGGACAAGGTGTGGTGTATAAACATCGCCACTGGGGAGACAAAGGCGGCCGGGCGTAGTGCTTGCCACCCACCCCCTCGTGAGCTGTGCCAGCCTTCATAGGTTCTCGCTAACAGCACTTGCCCTAAAAGTCTGTAAAAGCTATATGGGGGATCCTTGTCTTGCACTATGCACTTGGCAACCTGTTTTCAGTTCCTCGCCATGGCTGTCTGCACTTGGTCCAGCCTGAAATGAGTAGCTGATGCGGAGTGTAAACACGAGTACTGAGGAGACATCTGTGGCAGACTGATGGAGACACCACCCTCTTTAATAGATGCCCATTAACAGCACTTTCCCCTACAGCCTTTAAAGTAATCCTCTCGTGATATCCCAACCGGTCATGGGCCCCCGTTTCACCAAACTGCACTGACCAAATATGCTGCAGTTTGGTCAAAGCAACCCTTCCACGATCGATACAGTGCATGGAGGCCTTCAATCATCCAGCAGTGGATGGAGAATGACTGTTTAAAAAAAAAAGAAACCAAACATCCCCACAACATTTAATGAAAATGGTTTTGTCTTGAGTGGTAGGTTTGCAAGGATTCATAGATTCATAGCCTGTTTCAGACTCCAGATGCATGTGTCAAATCACGCGTGTAAACATCGATGCCGTTCAATTTCGTGAACACGAGAACATACAAATATGAGACTGTAACAACGAGACAAAAACAGAATCAATACTTAAATTAGATTGTGACCCTGAGTCATATAACTGCCAGGGGAATTAATTGTTAGACCCCGACTGACTTGTGCACATTGCACCAGCCCTTAATTTAACCAGGCTATGGCCCATTGAGACATCGCATCTCCATACTAAAAAAAATAGACCAAACAGTACAAGATGACTTCAGAGTGACACACACACACACTATTCTTCTTTGGTTCTTTCGGTAAAGTCACGTAGAATGATAATAAAATAATAAATTGATAAAATCAAATAACACAATAAAATTTATCACGACGTTTCGGCCACAACACAAGCGGCCTTCATCAGGTGAAGGGACGAGACTGTCTGGAGGACAGCGCTGTTGTTGTGGCCGAAACGTCGTGAGAATTTTATTGTGTTATTTTATTTTATCAATTTATTATTTTATTCTCATTCTACGTGACTTTACCAAAAGAACTAAAGAAGATGAATCCTTGCAGTCACGAAAGCTTTAAATCGAAACACACACTATTGTATGGGGTTAAATGATAAGTTGTGTCCATTTCTCAATCCAATGTATGCATGTTGAACTCCATTCACACCGTATTTAGCCAACCATGCTAATCGGAGGTGCGTCATACACCAATGATGTATGACGAAGGTCTGCCCACTCCGTGTCGGTCAAAGGGTTTGTGTACCCAGACTGCAACACGCTGGTCAGTGTGGGTTGGTGACTGGGGTAGGGAGGGGACCCGGGCCCGGTTTAGATATCACTCGCCCACGAACATTAGCGGTGGCTGGAAATTGAACTTGGGTCACTGGATTCAGAGCGTACGCAGTGTGCTAATCATGATGCCTCTGCTTAAATGAAATAGTTACCAATTAAAAATTCTGGTTTTGTTAAATGTCAATCAGGTGCAGTTTCTTTTCATCTTTGTTATCAATATGCTCATTTACCTGGGCAAGCCTCGCTGAGTCTCAAGACTGTTTTTTCAGGAGGGTCCTGCCAAGTTTTGGCAAAAGGGGGCAATTTTGCCAAGTGAATTTTCCCAATTAAGCCAGGGTTTTGTTTTAGCCGGGTGTCTCCAAGTTGGTGACCTGGAAAAACACTGCATCCAGTATATCTCTCGCTTTGGCTACTATTCACATGCCTACCCCAGTCTATTTCTAGATTTAATTCTATATTTAAAGTTTTCCTGACTGCAAGGATTCATACTCTTTGTTTTTTTTCGATAAAGTCACGTAGGTAAAAAACAAATGGAAAAACTCAATTAAATCACGACGTTTCAGAGGCAACACAAGCTTCCGTCTTCAGATGGAACCGTTACAGCCAAAACCACTAATAAGTGAAGGGAGCTAATAGAGAAACGCGACTATATAGGGTAAAAGGGGGGGGGGAAGGAGCCAAGGTAAGGGTAGGGGTGGGGGGGTTGCTGTGAGGGGTCGGGGGAGGAGGCAAGTGCTACGTGGATACCCGTCTACTTGCAGCCTGGAAGATATTCAGTGAAATGCTAAGCCCTGCTACTGCCAGCTCTCCCATCAGCCCAACTCCTAACCCCCACCTCAAGTCCCTCACCGTGACCTAGGGGGTGGTCCAGTGAAATAATTAATTCTCATCTATGTTCTCGTTTTCTCAATTGTACATTTGTGTTCCCTCCATTAGCCTCAGTGTAAAATTAGCATATCATGCGTTTATCATTATTTGCATTGGCCGAAAAAAAAGCATAGATCTTCATATTCGAGATGCAATGCAAGCGTTGTGATCCAAGGAACTTGATAATCATTCGTGAAGCGAAGCATCATAACACACTGCCAGGAGCCCCCTACCCCCCCCCCCCCTAATTTCTGTTCACTTTTTAGTTTTGGTGTTAACAGTGCCCATCACAGGCCCCATCCGGTTATTCTCGTCTGCTTCTGTCCAGTGAGCTCCGAGCGGGATGGCCTTGCCAGCGATCGCGCGCTTCTCGGTCCCAGTGCGACTTTTACCGCAGCGCCGACGCTCGCACTGCGCCTCTCGCAAACGCGAGGAAGGAAGCGCGGGCGGTGGGGGCTCGCGAGAGGTTCTTCGTCATGGGTTAATCTGTGTCGGCGCACGGGCATTGCCGTTAAGTGCTCCCTGGCTGTTTAAGAGGTTTCACACGAGCCCCGGGGCACATTCATGAGAGAGCTTACAGTGGAATGTGTGAGCATACTTGCGGCGCACGTAATCACATTTGCCTTTCAAATCGCGCCTATTACATGCGCTCATTTCACCGGGACCGCTGTTGAATGAAGTGTGTGGATACGTCCGTGCAGATCTGTGCCAGTGCGGTCGCTGTGCATTTTGCCTTGCGACGAAGGCAGTCGACCGCTGGATAACTTGGCTGAGCTTAATGCGCGAGAGAGCGGTGCGTTGCGCAAGGGACGATTCCTGATCAGACAAATACTGCATTAACCTGGCCAGCAGTCAGAAGGCCGTGAGTTCAAATGCCGGCTGCACATCTGCTCGGCTAATCGTCGCTTAATGCTTGATGAAATGAGAACCTCTACCACGCCGGAACGCGACATTGAATATCTCACGGATAGACTGGGTCCTCCCTTGATAATGTGGAAAAATGCCACCAGCGTCTCATGACCGATAATTATAATGGAGATGTGACCTGACTAATGCTCATTGGAGCATGGAGACGCCATATTTTTTCCATCTCTCTTTGTTTCCAGATGTTTCTGTTTTCGCGGCTGTGCTGTGCAGTAACTCTCCGACGTGTTTTAGAGCTGCAGTTCCTGAAGAAGCGTGAGGCATCGTGCCCAACGGCACGCGGTACCACCCAAGCACTCGCCGGAGGGATGTCTGCATTTCTTGCTTTCAGTGCCGCGTTATCTTTTGTAAGCGGGCGCCCGTGACGCAGCCGCGTCTGCAATTGGCACCGGAGTGCCACGGCGACGCACAGGCCCGCGTGCGTTCACGCCCGGAGTCTCCCTCGCGCGTCTAGGTGGGCGGCAAGGACTCCGGCAAGGCAGTGCACGGGGACGAGGAGGCGGCGGTGGCGGAGGCGGCGCTGCTGCGGGCGGCGCGCGACCCCGTCGTGGTGGAGGTGCTGCGCAGGGGCCGCCCCTCGCTGGCCCCACCGAGGCCACCGGGCGGACGCGCCCGCACGGACGCCAGCACGCAGACCGAGTTGCCACCCTCGCCAAGCGGGCCGCGCAGCCCGGCCACGCCGCCCCTGCCCAACGTGCATCCTCTGCTGCTGGCCCAGGGGTCAGTGGCCCGTGCCTCTGCATTGCCAGGGGTCGTGGATTTACTGCCACCAGACTCTCTTGTGCCACAATAATAAGAATGCTGATTATGTATCTGGGAAAGCCTCATTGTGGCCCAAGACTTGTTCTCAGGAGGGGATTGTGCATTGCGATGTTTGGCCTCCTCCGCTTATGGGTGTTTGGCTTCCTGTGTGAGGAAGCTGGAGTAGCCGGAGAAAACCCAGGCATACGAGGGAATAACACAGCACAAATTGGTTCAATCCTCAGACTCAATCCAGTAAGTGGACCAAAGCTATATATTTTTACCTTGCTTTTATCTTGATCAATTTTTGTGCAGTGTAAAATTCATTTGTCCATACATACAATGCTGCCACGATCCTTAAGCTTAATATTAATTATTAAGGCTCGCAAAGTGTCGACTTGCATGTGTAAGTATCGGTTTTTAATTGCAAGCAACATATATCTGCTCCTGTTACAATTATGCTTATGGAGTGGACACAACTACTAACAGGACGGTAATAATAGAGGAGACTCAAAAGAAGATTCTTGAGACGAATCGAGACGCAGAATTGAAACGAATCCATAATCGCACGGTGCAGCGTTTACTTGCATGTGTGTGACACGTCACCCGAGGCATTAGTTAATTAAAGCATCGGGCCAGCACCACGCAGCCCCCGTGTGCATACACGAGACGAGCGCTGCTCACGCCTTCCGTCGCGTGTAACTTCGAGGACATTTGCCGCGCTTGGTGTCTCCCGTGCAGCCTCTGTGAGCTGCCACCCGAATACTTTGACTCAAGTGACTACCTTCCCAGCATGCAACAGGACGCCCACCATGCGGAGGGTCTGGAGTACGAGGTGAGGAGTCTGCATGCGCGGTTAGCGCCGCGTTATAATCGTGCTCCTGCGTAGCTGCTGCACCTCCACGTGCCACCGCACATCCATCGGCAAGTAAAACTTCAGCGCTAGGGAGAGAGAGGCACTGACAACACCACCCCCAAGTGCCGTGTTGGCCTCAGCAAATGCTCGCTCTCGCAGAACTTGCATTACACGAAGTTAAACTGGGAATATTCTGCTCCGGGGCGGTAGCGTAACTAAGCGGTAGGGCTTTTGCCGTTTGTTACAAAGATTTACGGTTTGAGCCCTGAAGCCGCCCTGGTTAATACTGCTGATTGTATTAACCATAAAAATATATCTACGCGACGTCTGCTTCAAGGTGTATACTAAAGATCCTCTGACACCATTTTAAATTGTGTGCCACGTCACGGTCCAAATTTGCCAGATTACTCGCTTGCTCTCGATCCCATCCCTGCTTCCCTTTGACCCCGACTCCTTCCTTTAATTTTACCCGACCTAGTGTCCCTGTTAAATTCATCCCTTTCCACTGGTGTCTTTCCTGCAATCTATAAGTCGGCCATTATTGTACCGCTCCTCAAAAAATGCTCTTTGATACCTCTTCTCCTGCCAACTACCAGCTCATTTCCCTTCTACCCTATTTCCCCAAACTCTTAGAACGCCTGGTACACTCTCGTCTTACCCACTACGTATATTCTCTCTCTACCCCTAATTCCAATCTGGGTTTCGGCCCTCTCATTCAACCGAAACGGCTCTTCTTTCGGTTCAGACTCACCTGGCTAACTCTGCCCCTGGTAGCCTCTCTTCTATTCTTATACTGCTCGATCTGTCCTCGGCTTTCGAAAAGGTTGACCATCCGACTCTTTTTCTCTACACTCTCTTCTCCTGGTATCTCTGTGCGCACCACTTTCCTGGCTAAAGTCCTATCTCTCTGTGCGCCCCTATGCGGTCTCGTTCAATCATCGTCGCTTCCCCCCCTCCCCCAGCCCCCTTCACTGTTGGTGTTCCTCAAGCGTCTTTTCTTGGTCCCCTACTCTTCTCTCTCTCACCGCTTGCATCTTTCCTTTCTTCGCTGAACTTTCCCCATCATTTATTCGCAGATGGCATCAACATTTTATTATCCTTTCCTTCCTCTTCCCCTGGCCTCGCCTCCCGCATCTCATCCTGTCTGGTTTCTATCCAATCTTGGATGTCACGTGACTTTCTCTGCCTCTCAACCCTTCCAAAACTCCTTTTCTATTTCACCCTGTTTCCTCGGCCCGCAACCTCACTGTTATCTTTGACTCTCTTCCCGCCCCCTCTCACGATCACATTTCCTCCACTACTCGTACTTGCCGGATTCATTCGTTCAACATTCGCAAAATCCGACCGCTTATTTCCATTTCTGCTGCAACGCTTCCAATTCCATTCCCTTATCCATACCCGCCTGGACTACCGCGACTCTCTTATGCTCGGTCTGCCCATTTACTCTTTTGCCCCCCTTCAACAAGTCCAAAATTACTCTCCTCGGCTCATATTCAACCTTCCCTATAATTCCCATACGGCGACCCTCCTCGCACGACTGCATTGGCTCCTTGTCCATTACCGTTGCCTGTTCAAATTCCTCGCCCTGCTCTGCAAATCCCTTCATGGTCTTGCCTCCTCACCATATCTTGCCACGCTAATTTATTTCTACGTGTCGCCTTCTCGCCCACTGCTTTCACAATCTTTGCTGTCTCTCTCTCTCTGTTCCTCCTACTCCTTGCACTCAATCCACGCTTTCGCTCTTTCTCTCTTCTTGCCCCCCCCCCCCGCCACTTAACTGGAACAAACTTCCCCCTCCACATTAAACAGTCACCAACGCTCACTAGTTTCCGCTCCACACTCAAAACTCACTTATTTTCCCGAGCTCATCCCGCAACCCCCTTAATCTCCACCTCGTATCCGCCACCGTTACTTTTCCCTCTCCATATTCTCATCATTTGGCTCTCACTCATTCCCCATTCATTCAATATATTCATCATCATTTACTGTCATCAATTTCGCTTTCGCCGATTTCACACATCGCAGATTTGCCCATTGCAGCCTCTCATCTATTTGATTCACCTCATCTCCTCCATTACATTTACATGTACTATTATTAATTCCGTTTAAAGCACCTTGGATAAGGCTCTATATTCATTATCTGGAGACATGATAAGGTAGAGCAGTCATCTCCCCCGACTGGCAGACTCATGCCCATTTGCAGGCCAGGTGCCGAGTCACATTGTGCCCACGAGGACAATGTGTTGCGATTTCGATTTACATCACTTATCGTGTTGAGAGCGCCCTGAGATAAAAAAAATATATATTGCTACACTATGCACAAACCTGTTGGAATCCCTGCGTTTTGGTATTGGAGGCTGTTGGAACGAAAGTTTTTTTTCAAATGTTGGCCCGTTTCTCTTAATACTCTTTGGTTCTTTCGGTAAAATCACGTAGGTATAAAATAAATAAAATTAAATCACGACGTTTCGATTGCAACACAAGCAATCATCATCAGGTGGGAAAACCACAGCAAGACCACTTACCTCGGCATCTTTCTCCCATTTCAGCAAAAAAATGTTGCTGTGGTTTCCCACCTGATGATGATCGCTTGTGTTGCAATCGAAACGTCGTGCTTTAATTTATTTTATTTTCTACCTACGTGACTTTACCGAAATAACCAAAGAGTATATGGATCCCTGCAGTCACGAAAACTTCAAATCTAGATCGTTCCTCTAATAATCACTTACTCAAATATTCTTACTACCACCATATCACACGGTAGCCCAGGGTGATGTTTAAAGAATTTTGCCTTTAGTGATACGAGTGTGAAAGTCGACACACATTTTACAGCTTGATATACGGAACATTTTGACATTTCCAGGGCATGAGCTGGAAAATGGGTCCCGCCACTTAAAAACGTTCACACGTGAAGCTGTAAATTTGCGCCAGGCCTTGTGCTTGTATCACCACAGGCGCAATCCCTGTGATATTTGTTTCGTATACGCTGGGCTGTGGTGCTGAAATAATGACCATGACTTGTGAAACCAAATAGCAGAGAAACCCATTACCTTGGCACATGGCTGGCTTGGAACGACTTGCCAAAGTCTTTTGTCGTTTGCGGAGCAGATCGTACGGTCGTCCTTACAATAACAATGCAGCCAATTAGTAACCAAATGATAATTGTCTGAAGCACCATTAATTTTTAGCAGAAACATTTGTTCTTACTTTGAGACTAGTTTGTTTCCTATTAAAGTCAACCATGTAGATTTAATTAGCTCATTATAAATAGAGCCTGGTCATTTGCAAAAATCCAATTCAATTATTAAACTTCTGGAAAATAGAATATTCCTGAAAATGAATATAAATACGTACGATACAGCAAATGTCATGAATGAGGCTTGCAAATGGCATGTTTCCATAATCCCACATTAAGATTAATTTACGATATAATTAAATCTGTTTATTTTTTATGCTGCTGTATAACATGTGTACGTGAAATATCTACACGTGTGTTTTATCTCCCTACTCATTGCAGGTCTTGGGGGTTATTTTACCATACTTCACCATGCTGGTCAGTGCGGGTGGTGTGTGACACCTGGGAGCAGATGTTGTAGTATAGTATAGTGCTGACCGGTGGTGGCAACATATACCCCCAGCAGCCTATAGCACCTGTTCTGCATGTGGGTCACCCATCCAAGCACTATCCAAACTGAACCCAGCTTGGCTTCTGATAGCTGATGAGATTGGGTGCATTATGGGTAATCTGGTCATAATCTTAAAGGCACACAATGTTACTGGCATTGGAAAAACTTCTAAATGCCAAAAAATTACCTGAAAATGGCTCAATTGGGAATAGAGTCGCAACATCACCCCCTACTGAAAGAACTTTACGGGAGCCTCCTGAAAATAGGGCTTGAGACTCAGGCGTTCCTGGGAAAACATGCATAATAATGTGATATGCTTGCTGTGTGACAAGAAATAAAACACCTTGTATTTGTTTTTGCGAATGTATCCCATTACCAAGTGGCTTTACACACCTCCAATTAATACGGTTGGCTACGTACAGTGTGAAAGAAGTTCAACACACCAAGTAGAGTCCGGGCCTCTTGCCCACGGAGGGGGGAATTGGGGCAGTGTTCTTCTCCGTGGGTGGTGGCCCAGAGGCAGTGGCTCAGGTTTTGCATTTGGTTGTTAGGGGCCTGACCTGCATGGAACACAAACACTGAAGACTTCCCACATGCTTGGACTGTGCTTATTTTATTGACCCTGGAGGGCTGACGGGTTGAGTTGGCTGGAAATGGTATTAGAAATAATGATGTGCCAATTGTCACTCAAGCCTTTTTAACCACACCACCAACACGAGCCAATCTAAGGACATGCGAATGTGAGGATGTTGACTGTGGGTGGTGACTGTTGCCTGATGCTGGGTGCAACCATCTTCCCCCCCCCCCCTCCTCCCTCTTGTTGCCCACAGGAGGTGGATTTGCACCGTGGCTCAAGCCGGGAGCGGCTAGGCCTCACCGTGTGCTACCGCACGGAGGACGAGGACGACGCCGGCATCTACGTAAGCCAGGTAAGCGAGCAGCAGCACCGACGCCGTGTCTGCCTGTCACGTACGGGGTCCGCCTGTCACACGCGGCGTCCACCTGTCACAGCGTCCGCCTGTCGCGCACAGCGTCCACACAGCATCCACAGAGCATTCGTAGCATCCACAGTGTCCACACAGCATCCACAGAGCATTCATAGCATCCACACAGTATCCACAGTATCCACACAGCATCCACACAGCGTTCATAGCATCCGCACAGCATCCACAGTGTCCACACAGCATCCACAGAGCGTTCATAGCATCCACAGAGCGTTCATAGCATTCACACAGCATCCACAGTGTCCACACAGCATCCTCCCAGCGTTCATAGCATCCACACAGTATCCACGTGTCATGAATAGCATCTACATAGTGATCACACAACTGATTACCACGGTTGGCTACGTACGGTGCAAAAGAAGTTCAACATACATCAGTTCGCATCCACACAGCGTCTACACAGCATCCACATATCATCCACATACTTTCGACATAGTGTTTTCCCAGCATTTGCATAGTGTCCACATTGACACAGCGTGTACATAGCATTATCACAGCAACACCAACATAGCGTTCATCATAGTAAGCCTGTTGTGCGTCAATTATGATTGTTTCAGCTCACCATAAAGTTGAAGGACAATTCTCACAAACAAAATGATAAATATATCCACGGCGTTTTGCTTGCAACTGCATCAAGTATCTTAAGGACAAGATGCAGTGAGTCAGAATAACCACGTCATGTGACCCGGCTTCTTAAATAGGTGTCATGACCTCACACTTGGCCTGGCGATCAACACAAACCGACGCAGAGACACTCAGAGGAGTTGACATCACAAATTAGGTCACGTGTCTGCATGTGTCTTGAACTGTTCCTGATGAACTATACTCGTATTTAACGTAGTGTGCACGCTGCCAGAGTGGTGGAACGGTTAGCAGCGCACTGGACTTGCAGTTCATAGGTCACCGGTTCAACTCCATATCCCGGCACGGCAGTTGCAAGGAAAGCACAAGTTTCGAAAATCCTCCTCTGCATCACCTTCGTTGGGTTCACCACAATTGGCGTTCACCACAATGAGTGTCCGTTTCGGCAGGTCGCGGGTGGTGGGCTTCAAAGTGTGGGTACTCCCACCTTCTCAAAGACATCTGGCCAGCTAGGAAAAATAGATCCAAGCTCCTTTCGGGCTCCCTCTGTTAGAGGCGCTTCTGCCAGAAGTGGAAGCAACGGCGAGAAAACAAAAGGAGGAGGGGGTGGAGGGGGGCTGCGCTGTTACACGGACGCGATGTCGAATTGCCAACGTGTCTGATCGTTGCAGGTGAATCCCAACAGCATCGCAGCACGAGACGGACGCATCAGAGAGGGCGACAGAATCCTCCAGGTAGCCTCACCTTACAACTGAGATGCACCCGTACGGTTAGAACGTCACAGACGGCTTGCGTCACGCGCAATTGGGGCTGTGAAGCCCTGAAGATTTGGAGGGTCCTACGACCAGTAACCCTTGACATCGTAAAAGTATTTTGACCATGCCTGCCTCCCGCACCAATTGCCGAGCTATCGTCATTTGGCAGCCAGTCTAATGTGCAAGCCTAGATTTCTAGCTTTCTAAATGATAAATCGGTGCATGTATATAAATATAATTTACTACTAATAATGAGCCAAGAATGTCTGTGTCCCGCGCGTGACGTCACTCCACATGAGGTCAACCCCCCCTCATTAATAATCATGAGCGGTTGACGTCACTCCACATGAAGCACCCCCCCTCATTAATAATCATGAGCGGATGACGTCACTCCACATGGAGCTCCCCCTCATTAATAATCATGAGCGGGTCATTATTTTCGATTTAACATTTCCGATTAACTGCAATACACCCGTCCTTGGACGGGCTATAGGCTAGTGTATATTATACCCAGCTAATGAGCACAGGCCCACAACGTGACGCAGCCAGAAACAAACAACCCTGTAAAACTTGTAATGGATCAGAGTGAATATTTTTCTTGAATTCAGCTAATGTTATTTTGATGTAAAGGGATTGCGATGCGAGGGAAGACGCAGAAAGAGAAGTGAGGTGGCCTGCAGTGCACGTGTGAGCAAAGGTGTTTGTTGGGACTGCAGAGCGGGGAAGTTTATGAGCCGAAACAGTCCGCCTTAGTCCTCGGCATGGGCGGAGGAATCGCCGAGTGACGTCCAGGGGAACGGTAACCACGGCAGTAGGAGCGATAGACGGCGACAGGGAGGCGACTGGCCGCCGGTGAGCGGCGTGAGGGGAGTGAGCGTGCGAGCGCTGCATCACAACGTAGACGGAGGACCCAGCGTACGCACGCCGGCGGATGCCATGGCCACCCGGACGTGCCCTGGGCGAGCGAGCTGGGGCCCGCATGGCAACACGTCTCTCCCCTCTCTCTCGCACAGATCAATGGGCTGGACGTGCACGACCGGCGGCAGGCGGTGGCGCGCCTCACCCAGGAGGAGGGCACCGACGTGTCGCTGCTGCTGGCACGGCCCGACACGCAGGTACGCAGCTTCCCGACACGCAGGTACGCAGCTTCCCGACACGCAGGTACGCAGCTTCCCGACACGCAGGTACGCAGCTTCCCGACACGCAGGTACGCAGCTTCCCGACACGCAGGTACGCAGCTTCCCGACACGCAGGTACGCAGCTTCCCGACACGCAGGTACGCAGCTTCCCGACACGCAGGTACGCAGCTTCCCGACACGCAGGTACGCAGCTTCCCGACACGCAGGTACGCAGCTTCCCGACACGCAGGTACGCAGCTTCCCGACACGCAGGTACGCAGCTTCCCGACACGCAGGTACGCAGCTTCCCGATACGCAGGTACGCAGCTTCCCGACACGCAGGTACGCAGCTTCCCGACACGCAGGTACGCAGCTTCCCGACACGCAGGTACGCAGCTTCCCGATACGCAGGTACGCAGCTTCCCGATACGCAGGTACGCAGCTTCCCGATACGCAGGTACGCAGCTTCCCGACACGCAGGTACGCAGCTTCCCGATACGCAGGTACGCAGCTTCCCGATACGCAGGAAACGCGGCCGTGGTGCACCGGTGCAGACACTGGGCGAGCGGGGATTCGCCGAGTCGACCTTCGGAGCGGATTCTACCGCTCGCAATGCACGTGTGGGGTCGGGCGTCCGAGAAGAGGTTATTGATTTCCTTATGATTTCCGAAATGTATTTTTGGCGATAACCAAATCCTCCTGAATGTACCCACCCTCGTTAGATATTGGAAGCTAAGCAGTTAAGAGTCTGGTGTTACTGCTTGGATGGGTGGCCACCAAGACTGGATAAACTAGCGGAATGAAAGTAAAATCACAACGTTATGGTGAGCACGGAGAGTCGATGTTGATTGATGAATCGTGGCGTGGTGCTCAGCTCGAAGACGGCTGGGTGGAGGAGGAGCACCGAGCAATGATGGAGACCCTGAGGGTGGAGATACTGCAGGACGAGCGGCTGGAGCCCATCGCTTACATCGGCTCCAGTCTCATCCAGGTGCACACTCCTCACCTCTAACCGTGAAGAAATTTGCCCGTTGTTTGGACAGCTTTGGGCCATGATGCTGGCAGCACAACGGCCTATGAAAAACACCTGGGTGCATATTGCTGTGGTTCACACTCCTCCAGCATTAACCTCCGGTGTTAACCAGGGCGGCCTGCCGAACACTAACCTCCACAACAAGTGATGAACGGGCTACCTCTGGGTCATGTCACCACCCTTGTTGGAGTGGTGGAGGGTAATAGGTTACTGTAATCAGATTACACAAGAAGGCATCATTAATCCCATATTATTACTCCGTGTTCAGCATATAATTAGTATTACCTTTCCTCTCGCATTGCTCTGACAGTTTTAAATTGAGTGCTTTCATTTTTTTTTATTATAAAGTGTCTAGCAACACTTTGAAGGAAGCGGTGGTGGTAACGTCAGCAGCTTGGCCAATGTGATGGCTACAGTGCAACAAGGCGTGCTAGCTACACTTCAACGTTGACCGCCTTGAGGTCGCCGGGCAACTCGGAGTTCAGAGCGTTGAGCTGGCACCGCCGAGGTCTTGAGTCTGAATCCGGGCAGCAGCTGCCTGTGATTCAAATTGAAAGCTGATGGTCTGGACAAAATAAACCACAATAAATGTGGTTCTGCACTTAATTTGGCTGAATTCTGATAACCTTACTCTCATAAGGCAGAGCGAGTGGGGAAAGTGCCGCCCTCTATTATGTGTGGACAGGAGGGTCACTCGAAGGGCTCTCAGATGCAGCTCTGTGATATCCGCTTCCACGGGCCATTCTCAAAGATTCACGAGGATACTGGGTCTTGTGACTTGGTGACAAAAGCACAATTTTGATAAAATCGTGGGGAAAAGGCAAAAGCGTTTCGCCAGTGCAGACTGTTTTTGTTTCTGAGGTTAGGTCAAAATAGTTGCGTTGATCAGTCGACGCATTACTATAAATAAACCGAACACATGAATACGTGCAGTTGCTTCTAGGATGCTGAGTAATTGGTAATCACAAGCGGTCAGCTGTTTACACCCAAACGTGGCCTGAAATCGCAGTCTACGCTGCTTTAGCAGTAACCACAATAACACTACAGAGACCACGACCCAAATGACAAGTCACAGAACCCGATACGAGCTTTGTTTCTTTCCCCAATTTCGCGCAATTAAACGTGTCTGAAATAAATTTCCGCGTGGCCTCTCACTCGCCCTCCAGGCGAGGGCGCCCCCGGACGACGACGCGGGCCTCACGGACTCGGTGTCGCACGGCCACGGCAAGGACAGCGGCCTGGGCCGCACGGACGAGAGCTCGGAGCACGACGGCGGCGTTGGCGTCGGCGCTGGGGGCGCCCCCCCGTCGTGCGCAGGGCCCCGCGGTGGCAGCGGCGTCGGCTCAGATCTGCGGCGCCACCTGCGGACGAAGGCGGGGACGGCGTGCGGCGTGGCCGACGTGCGGCGCGAGATCGCGCTGCTGCACGACGAGCTGCGGCGCTTCGAGCTGCGCGTCCAGAGCCACGGCCACGGCGCCGCGGCCGCCGCCGTGGCCGCGGCCGCCGCCGTATCGCCGCGCGACGTCGGCACGGAACCAGGACTCGCGAACATCGCCGAGCTGCCCGAGGGCCACGACCCGGATCCTGCCTCCGCCGCTTTTGCGACGGCGCCGTCGCCACAGGCGGACGGGGAAGCCGGCGGGAGCTCGCCGCCCGGCGGCCGCGACCCTCGCCAGGGCCCTCGCGGCTCGAACGACGCCGGAGCGACGACCCGAGCTCGGCCCGCGGCAAGTGCCGGGCGATGCCGACCGGAGAGGGCGGCGGCGGCGACGGCGGCGGCGACGGCGGCCAGCGCGGACGCGGGCGCGGACGGCGCCCCCGTCCCGCTGCACGCGCGCCACTACCGCAGCTACATGCAGCTGGTGCAGCAGAAGTCGGCGGTGGAATACGCACAGAGCCAGCTGAGCCTGGCCAGCCTGTGCCGGTTCGAGCGCCGCGAGGCCGGCGCCGCGCGGCCCCTGCCGCAGTCCGCGTCGGCGCCGGCCTCTCCGTACGAGTGGAAGGTGAAGGCGTGCGGCGGTGGCGGCGCGGCAGGGCGAGGAGGGCCGGGCGGCGCGGAGGGCTCGCGATGCCTGACGGCGCGGAGGCCCGTGCGGGACCGGCTCCTGCGGCAGCGCGCGCTCAGGATCCGCGAGGAGCGCAGCGGCGTCACCACGGACGACGACGTGCTCAGCGAGATGAAGGTCGGTCCGGATCGCTCCGCGCGATACCGCCCCTGGTACGGGCGGTCGGCTCGAGAGAGTCGTTCGTCTTCAACCGCTCGGAAGCCGCGTTCTAACGGTTGTAACGGCGCGCGTTCCGCATTGTGCGAGAAGTGTTCCCGAAAGGAAGGACCGCGTTCCAGCGTTATAGTGTGAACACCGTCCAGCACGCACTCTGCACATTGTCTACATTAACACACACACACTGCACATGCTAATATATGTCGATATTACATATACTACACGGTGATTTTTATTTAAATCGTGGCTAGCCGAACTTCCCTGTAGATACAGTTTGGCTGTAGAGAAGTGCTGTTAAAGTCGGACTCCGGTCCAAGGAAGGCACATTGTGTAAGACGCTCGTGCTCTGTGCATAATCCTGACATTAATGCTGAAGGGCTGAAGGGTAGAGTAGTGGCGCAGAGATTTGCGCACTTCCCCATGAACCTGACGACCTGAGTTTGATTCCCGGCCACTGCTAACATCAGTGGCTAAGTGATATCTGAATCGATGTTGGGCCACCCCCTTTCATGTTTTGCATTGACCAGTGTGAAGTATGGTCAAAAACCCCATAACCGAATTATAAGGGGGAGGGGCCTCCATTCAGCAGTATATGCTCTCAACTGTATGGATGTATATTTTTCTGGAGAACTTTCCCCAGACCATTGCCCCAGTTTGAATGAATAACAGGGTTAAAATTACAGCAAGATTTGACGGCTGAACCAATAATTTGGCATTTTGGCCCAAGAACTGCTTCTTCGCGCCACCATATCCAAATGGCCGGTGAATGGCGCAAGCCCCGGGTGTAGGCACGCGTCGTTTCACCTCGTTCCCGCTCGTCACTGACAATCGCAGCGGTGAGTTTCTTTCCTCATCATTAGCCCTCCTTTGCCAGTACCAAAATGTAATAATAGGGTTTTTTCCTCTTTTTTCTGGCAACAAAACTGAAACCTTTTTTTTACAAGGATTCATGTCTGCATTAACCACAATACCTGCAGTCAAAATGCAAACAAAAAAAACATACTATGATAATATATAATGCATTGTCCTTGAAACTGATTGGTCCACACCAAGGGACGGCTTTCTTTAGAGCCTCGACCCAATTGGTGCTCGACCAGATGACGCCAAAAGGCGTACAGCTCAAAGACAATGCACTATCGAAGTAATGAGGGCTCTAATGATGTAGATGCTCACCCCGAGCCCTCATTACTTTGATAGTGCATTGTCTTTGAGCTGTACGCCTTTTGGCGTCATCTGGTCGAGCACCAATTGGGTCGAGGCTCAAAAGAAAGCCGTCCCTTGGTGTGGACCAAGCAGTTTCAAGGACAATGCATATATTATCATAGTAGGTTTTTTGTTTGTATTTTGACTGCAGGTATTGTGGCTAATGCAGACGTGAATCCTTGTAAAAAAAGGTTTCAGTTTTGTTGCCAGAAAAAAGGGGAAAAAACCCTATTATTAGTTTCTTTCCTCTTGCTCCTGCAAGAGGAGTTACGCTCGCTGCCGCTCATTTATGTTTCCACTCTGCCCGACAATGTCACATCGGCGCAGTGGTGACACTCGCCCCTCGCAGCAAAAAGCGCCTGGGTTCGCTTCCCGACTCGGTCGCCTTTCTGCGTGGAATTTGTCTTGAGGGCCAGAGAGGCCTTCCTCGGCAAACAAGCGCAATATGAAAATAATAAAACCTCTTTCCCCCGTCTATCCTCTCCTCCTCTCCACCTCGGCCTGTGGCCGTGAAGACCGGGCGCTACTGGAGCAAGGAGCAGCGCAAGCAGCAGCTGGTGCGGGCGCGCGAGCAGCGGCGGCGACGCGAGTTCATGCAGCGCTGCCGCCTCGACTGGCTCGGGGAGAAGGTGGCTCCCGCAGCGGATGCAGCGGCAGCGGCGGCGGCGGCGGCAGCAGCCATGGCGTCGGCCACGGCAGCCGCTGCGGGCGTCGGTGACGCAGTGCCGGCGGCCGTGCCTCCCTCGGACTTCGCTGGCCATGCGCGCGAGCTGAGCATCCTCGAGCTGAGTCACCGCAAAATGATGAAGAAGCGCAACAAAAAGATTTTGGACAACTGGATGACCATCCAGGAGATGCTCGCCCACGGGCAGAAGTCGCCCGACGGAAACGGCAAGGTGTACAACCCCCTGCTGTCGGTCACCACCGTGTGACGGGACCCGCGGTGGCCGCGCATCCAACCGCTGGCGCCGGGGGGGGGGGTGGAGCGAACTTCCACTGCGTCGAGGGACGTGCAGCATCGAGGCCTTGGACTGTCATGGAGCGCGCCGGCCAAGTTGGTGCTCGCGAGCGTGCTTCCCGAGCTGCTGTCATTTGCAAACACATTTTGTGGATGGTGGGCGCACGAGCTGCCACATTCCTCACACTGAAGACCAGGCCACATGTAAACGTGATGCTTAGGCTAACGTGATGCACGTTAGAATTCATGGGAAACACACCCCAAAAAGCCATTAGTAATTTATGTCAATGTCAAATCGGTACTGATTCAGGCAACGGGGTTGTTTAAACCGGATTTTCTGTTACTCTAGGGTCCAGCAGATGCTCCACCATGGACCCGGCATGCATCCACGATGTGTGGATGCGCCGATGCCAGAACAGCGTGTTGGTGATTACAAGCCATGAGCTGCACAGAAGTCTAGCAGCCTCCTATTGTTATTGAGCTGATCTGGCCCATGCCTTACAATAACTGCAGCCCAGGTGCCTGCAACATAACCCACAAGGGCATTACAGTCACTCGACAGGATGACTATTCCGAGGGCCCACTTTAGCCAGCACCTGTCACAGGTGGTTATAGAAGGCATCTGAGTCTTAATCTTCAGTGGGGACAGAAGCCACTCCACCACCAATCCCCGCCTCCCGTTGATGGGGAGGCAAGCCCACAACAGCCTCGTACTCATAGCCACCCACACCTTGCATCCATGCTCCCACGCTCCCTTAATTATTTTGTTCCGAGGGAGAGCCACTCACTACCCCGAATGGAGGACTGTCCACCTCTCGTGATAACTGGAGGCAGAACAAGTCCACAGGACCTGTCATCCACAGAGGTCTAGATGGTACCAGTCCAGCTCCTGACAGAGGAATGGCAGCATCTCCCCCACGTGGCCAACCGCAATGGGTCCCTGCCGTTTGCTGGCTCCGCCAAATTGAGTTGGTTTAGAAGACGTCGTGAATGCCTTATCCTCCGTGGCCTCCCACACCAGCACAAGCTAATCGGGAGTATCCACCAAACTATATTCACAGAGAGACACACCTCGTACAACCCCATCCCATACCTACTCGCGCTCACCTCCACCTCACACCGCATTCACCCTCGCAAATCACTGCAACTCACACTACACTGCACACCAGACACACGTCATTATACACGACAGTGCTCCACACTACGTGTAAAAGAAAACAAAGATCCCCCGTATAGCCTTAACAGACTGTAGGGGCAAGTGCTGTTAGCGAGCACCTATGAAGGCTGGCACGGCACACGAGGGGGTGGGTGGCCAACACCACGCCCGGCCGCCTTTGTCTCCCAAGTGGCGATACTTACATATCGCACCAGGTACTAATTTGAGGCCGAGTCGACCTAGGGGAGTTTCAGAACCGGTTCAGATAATCGTCACCGGTGTTTGCCGTGAGCGGGAATCGATCCCGGGTCGCCAGGTTCGTAGCGCATGGCGCTAACCGCTGCACCACCGCTCCCCACCACATACACACACACAAATACACGTGCAAACATATGGTAACATTCACTAACAAAACGTAGGCTAAGAACTAATGAACGCACGCTCACACACATGCACACCACCCTAACATAATACATCATGAATCTACAACACGCACACATTCATCTCAACCTTGTCAACTAAAACACTCAACGGTATTAATGACGATATATCATGAACAAACAAATCTGGTGTTGTTATTACTAATCAAATAAACACGAGGAATTTCCGGGGCCCATTTCACCAACATTGCAAGCGCAAGTGCACACGACTGACTTCAAACATTTAACACTCGGTTAAACCCGGCGGCTTTCGTAAAACAACTCGAACATGACGACAAATACACAATAACGTCAAATTACACCGAAGACATCGATAACAACAACAGCAGCAATTAAACATTAAGTTGTGTAACCAGCAGGAGGCAAGAGGATACGCTATGCCCCCAGGTGATTACGTTGATGCATCGTCATCATCATCATCGTCGCACAATCCTCGCCACGGCTTCATCTGCTGTGGCCACGTGGTCTGCGTTGGGCAGCAGAATCGGCTGCTTCAGGCCACGAGGCCCTCGTGGTGATGCAAGGCCCAGCGGTGAGGCTGGATTTCAAGCCACCGGTCCCGTAAGAGGGCCACGTTTATCGCCGCCCCTGATTGTTTGCGAGGGTAACGTGGAATCGTTTGTCTCGCGAACAGCGATTCGCCGTGGCGGCTGTACACGCATGACGCTAAACCCTTATTTAAGCGAAGACTGTAAGAATGTTTTAAAATAGGCCAGTCCCTGGAGGATTAAGCGAAACGTGTAGATAAGTCTGTACATTATGTAACTCGGCCTGAGTTGCACAAGCCAGTGTATTGTCCCTCTCTGGGAAATACTTTCACTGTTGGTCATGTTTATTTGTATATCTGTATCTCGGTAAGCTTCATAACTGCGAACCTTTCCACAATAAATTTGTCATCAAACATGAGAAGGCCTCTGGTTTTGTGTCCGAAGAAATAGCACTGTTAGCGCAAGAAATACAAATTACAGTTACATTTTTACTTAAAACTTTCGCCACTGCAGGAATTCATATTCTTTTGGTTCATTCGGTAAAGTCACGGAGATAGAAACATAATCATATTAAAAAGTAATTATTCTCTTTCTATCTACGTGACTTTACCGAAAGAACCAAAGAATACAAATTATAGTTCACCATGAGCGTCACGAGGCTTTCCATAGGCGCTGTCAACGGCGCACCCGGTGGGATCGAGTGGTCTGAATTTGTGACGGACGTCTCGACACCCAGAACTGGCCTCCCCAACGGATGGATCCTCCGTCTGACTCCTTCGTCTGGGTCTACTCGTGGCAGACGGCTCGTCTTGAACCCGGCGATCCGGCTCACAACGATTCCTTCAACCCATGCCGAGGACAACGGGGAACTGCTTCATCTTCTCCGTGCTGCACTCACCCACCCTGCAGGTGACCACACTTCTCTCTGCTTCTCCGCTCACACCACTCCACTTGATAATTGTCTCCTCCCATCATCGTCGCCTCTTTTTCCCGAGCACTTCTAATAATTTCACGAAGCGTGTTACACTGTTATCTGTTACAATTTTGACAGCCCTGTTGGTTTGCTGCTGCCCGCTTCACCTTTTTGGGCCTGTGCTTCCGAACTGTTCAACAAAAGAAATGCAGCGCTTGTTTTATTAAGTACGAGAAGAGGCGTTGTCGTGAGCGTGGCTCCACCTTCACTCGCTCCACCATCACGTGTTCCACCGTCACGTGCTCCACCGTCACGTGCTCCACCTTCACTCGCTCCACCGTCACGTGCTCCACCTTCACTCGCTCCACCGTCACGTGCTCCACCGTCACGTGTTCCACCTTCACTCGCTCCACCGTCACGTGCTCCACCTTCACTCGCTCCACCGTCACGTGCTCCACCTTCACTCGCTCCACCGTCACGTGCTCCACCGTCACGTGCTCCACCTTCACTCGCTCCACCTTCACTCGCTCCACCGTCACGTGCTCCACCTTCACTCGCTCCACCGTCACGTGCTCCACCTTCACTCGCTCCACCGTCACGTGCTCCACCTTCACTCGCTCCACCGTCACTCGCTCCACCGTCACGTGCTCCACCTTCACTCGCTCCACCGTCACGTGCTCCACCTTCACTCGCTCCACCTTCACTCGCTCCACCTTCACGCGCTCCACCGTCACGTGCCGCCCATCCATCAGCGGTGGGAGCTGCTCAAACTGCCTACACGACTTAGGTCCTTTATTTGTCACAACGGAATGCATAATACAGTGAACCTGCTCTCTTATTCTCATGATTATTTGTGACCTACCAATGTCTGCAGCCAGGATCAATCGATGACAATCCTATTACCTGCACATATTTAACAGATGAGATGCGTGGCACCGTTAATTCCTCCTGTTTGATAATACTTCTCTTGTCCGTATGCATCTGTGCAGATAGGTTTTTTTTGCGGTTAAGCCATAGTCTCCACATACCGCTCGTATCAATGCGGATAAGAGGAGCGTCGACCCACTACTCTGTAGAGTAACATTGGTATAAACGCCTGTTACAATGTGAACAGCGCATTGAAAACGCGAACTCTTTGATGTACTGTTTACAAATCCACACTGAGAAAGACGACGACGATTGACAGCGAGGTGTAAAGTATTTTTTCGATAGTGTATTTAAATAGAGGTCCTGCAGGTAAGTAATTTTCAGTTTTAAAGGCACAGTTTAACAAGACAACACTTACCACCATCCCTCAAACACATTAATGAAAAAGAGCAAAGTTTTTGTTCACATTATAATATCATGTTTACGTGAGAGCCCGGGGCTTATGGGACCCCGGGGTCCCGCCATAAGGTTCGTTAATGCTGATGGGGTTTGCGTGTTGCACAGAGGCCTAGTGGTGCTTACACGCGGCCTGCACGGTTACTCCTTCTAATGCGGGCGGCGTACCTCGTCTGATTTATTATTTTTAGTTGTGTATTGCATCGTCTTACATCGAGCTAGAATCCAAATCAAACAGCGGGTCCTAGCCTCTAACGCGTGGCAGTCAACAGACATTCGTTCAAGGAAGTGACTGTTGATGAGACAGCCAAACTGATCCAGTTTGCTTGTCTTGAACTAATGCCGCTAACGTTATGCATCGGATGCCTTGGCGCCATGCAAAGATGTTTTCCTTCTACGTGACTTTACCGAAAGAACCAAGAATACGTTACACTTATCTTCATATTTTTTTAATTTGTTGAACTTCTTTTGCACCGTACCTAGCCAAATGCGCTAATCGAAGATCCTATTAAAGGACAACAAACTAAATACAAAAATACGTTTGAAAGAAATTCGTTTTCAACCTCCGGATGATTTAAAAGTGCAGCAGCTCTAGTGGCTTCCTGATATCGGAAGAGCGTTCCAGACGGCAGCAGAGGAGGTGCATCTTGAAAGCACGTGATGCAGCTGTCGGGGCGGTGCAGAAAGAGAGAGACGGTGCGTGGGTGGAGATAATGGCCAGGTGGTCACGAGGGATAATAACAGGAGGGAACCATGAGTGGATGTTCGGGTTTGGCTGAGCCAGTTCGGGAAAGAGGGCGTGGCCGGGGGAAGGGCGTGGCCGGGGGCGGGGCGAGGCCACGCCGGGGGGAATATAAAGGCGGAGGCTGAGAGAGCTCGGGGCTGCCGTGGGATCGGGATGGACTGTCTGTACGCCGCCGTCACCTTCGGGCCGTCGCTGTCTCCGTGCGGTCGTTGCTTGGGTGCTGTCTTAGCCCAAGTATCTGTTGTTATCCTAGCCCGGTACTGTATGCTGGTCATAGCTAAGTACTGTAGGATGTGAGAGTATGTTATCTGCGCCTTAATAAATAAAGAAGTGCCCGAGAGTCATTAAACAGTGACAACGCCGAAAGCCACTGCAAGGACGACCGGAGTTTGCATGATGGTTTATTCCTTGACGAAATCGGCAAGGTGTAGTGATTCATTCGTGGCAAGCGCTCGTGCAGTAATTGAAAGCTTTATTGCTCAAATACTGAAGTCTTGATACACGAGAGGTTAGTGTTGCTGGTCAAGATGCGACAATCTGACCCAGTGGCACCGTGGTCAGAACGCGCCTCTCACAATGTAGACATTAACATCCTGAGTCGCCCACACCCTTACAGGATTTCCACATTAAATTCCTGCAGAAGGGCTGGGGAGTGATTTAACCAATCCACAACCTCCTGAGGTTGGGACGCCAAGTGGTTTCCCCCTCTGGATACCAGCCTCTACCGTGGGAATGTGGAATTTCTATCATTGGCCTGGAGCCACTAACCGGCACAACCCATATGCTTCAGTTGAGGGAACGCACTCATTTCTTCACGTGAAAATAAACTGAATTGGAAAATGCAGCACAAAAAATGTACCGATACCGAAAAAGTATCCGCAATGTGGCTGCTGAACTCCAAGCTCTGCCACTGTGGGTTTCAACCCCCCCCCCCCATGCGCTGGGTTGCAGACTGACACAGAGCGTCTCCCAGCATGCACCGCGTAGGCGGGGCGAGGGGCTTCGTGTGGCTATATCGCCACTAGGGGGCGCTACAGCGGTGGCCCTGAAGTCTCGTGGCTGTGACTCGAACCAAGCCTCCCACGTGTATCGGACAGCCCGTGATGCACAGCTGAGGTATGTATCTAGAAAACAGCAGCGGTTCTCTCTGTGGTGGTTCTCACGGGAACACGCGTTCCCGTGAGACGTCCGTGTAGTGATAGAGTTCTACTACGTCGGTTTTCGCGGTTGTGCTTTATGGCTCCCGATTTAGATTTTTGGGTTGTGCTGCATGTTGTTGACACCCACACTCGCACAGATACGCGCACACACACATACAGCAGTACAGTAAGTGGGCACGTAAGCCTGTCTGTTCAGCGGACTGTTACAGAGTGGTCTCACCCAGGTTTATCACTTGGCGCACAAGTGGCGAGCCCGTGTGCACCGGCTGACGAAGCTCGTGAGTAGTAGTAACGTCGGCCGGCCCACATCAATCGCAGCCAGCAAGTGACGTCGGATAACAGAGAGAATGGGGGGCGCTGCTCCATTCTGAAGAAGCTCCCAGTTCGTCGAGCGAAACATCGGACGACGCGAGGCACAACCCGGAACGCGAGCGAGCGAGAGAGAGAGAGAGCAGTGACCGACGTCCACGCGCAGTCCTCTACCGCGGCTCCGCAGGCTCCGCAGACGCCGCTGCCGCGCTGCGCTCGAGCTGCCCCAGCAGCACGTGGGGCACGCGGCCGCAGTACGTGTGCGCCGCCTCGCCCATGGCGGCTCGCGCCGGCGCCAGCAGCCCGGACTCGAGGTCGCCGCTGCCAAGTCGGTACTGCGCACGCACGCACCGCACGCACCGCGACTGTGTGAAGTTGAGGGAGTGGCGGTGTCTTCACAGCGTCCGTGCCAGACGGACCCGCTGCACACGCAGAGCGTCTGCATTCAAGCGGGCAGGCCAGCAGAGGAGCTATCGAGTGTGCAGGAGGTGCACCACGGGCTACTGGCCGGAGGAGCGCTGGCACCCGGCTAAGAAGAAGAGGAAACATTTAATTGGGGAGGCGAGGCCCCTTTTAAGAAGCTGCACCAACCCATTTGGTTGCATGCAACGGAGCTGTGCAACTGAACGCGCCGATGTGGACCCAGCTTGAGGCTGCCGCTCAAATAATGTATCCCCCGTGCCCTGTTGCCAGCATGCACGTGGCGCGGGTGTACTGGTGTGGTGTCCAAGTTGGTACGCACGTGCAGGAGCGCCTGGTAGATGGCGCGGAAGGCCGGCTGCTTGCCGTCGTGATACACGCCGCGATTGCCGTGCAGCACGGCTACGCCGTCGCGCTCGGCGCCGCCGCAGTTGCTGCCGTACATGCAGTGGTCTGGACGGAAGTTCCAGCGGCAATCGAAGACGTGCACCATCTCTGTGGGGCGGGGGAGACGCGCGTCAACCCGTGCGGCCCTTGCGCCGGGCCACTATTTAACCAGGCGGGGGCCCGTCGTGATTGCCCGCCTCGTCGTTAAAGAGGAGACCGCAGCAGTGTGAAGGTATTTCGTGACACAATTATACAGTTATGGTTAGGGTAGAAGGGCCTAGGCTGCGTTCCTGACTGAGCCGCCTCTCTATGTGGAGTTTGTAAGTTCTCCCCCTGCCTGCATGGGTTTCCTCTGGGCTCCCTGGTATTGGGCAAACATCCCAGTGCTGAAAAATGTGCCTGAGAATTACTGTCGTGATCACAGACACACACAACAGCAACACCGCCCCCTACTGCGAAAACAAGGTCATGTGACTCGGAGAGGCTTTCCTGATAAAGCAGCATAATAACAATAATACACTTAATAATGAATATCCTTTTTTTTCAACCCACTGCTGGGTGAAGCCTTCCCTATACCACGTGGGTCATGGAAGTTAATTGACCATACTTCACCATGCAGGCGAGTGTGGGGTTGGTGGAGACCACGAGGTATTTTGCTGCGCTACCCTCTGCTGACAACACTGCCCTGCGGCGGAGCACGACACCGGCGTTTCGCCTGGCGGTCCATCATCCAAACACCGGTGACATCGCAGCTGTGAGTTGACGACTCCAACAGCGCCATCCGGTGAAATTAAACGTAAACGAGGGGCCAAAAGTAAACTACATTTCGATACTCTTGGTTCTTTCGGTAAAGTCACGTAGGTAAAGAAAATAGGAAAATGAAAATAAAAAATATTTTAAAAAATCACGACGCTTCGGGCGCGCAACACAAGCCTCATGACGGACGCTTGTCCATCATCAGGCCCGAAACGTCGTGATTTAATTTATTTTTATTTTATTTTTTAAATTTTCTTTACCTACGTGACTTTACCGAAAGAACCAAGAGTATGGATCCTTGCAGTCACGAAAACTTCAAATCTAGAATGAATACATTTGTGTAAATAAATAAAGTTGCTGATAAGCGGCCAGGATTGAGCAAATGCACCACCGCCACCCGCGGTAGTGCCATCCGAGCCTGTTGGCGCACGCCCAGCGACCGCGAGCGCCAACGCTACAAATCACCACACCGCCCGCTGCCTCGTATGGCGACCTTCTGTCGGCGGCTCTTCAGCAAGCGCTCTGCGGTTTTCTTCTCAATGCCAAAGCGACGGCAGCGCCGCTGTACTCGTCAAAGCGCAGGGCCGACGGTGGTCGCGCGTGGGAGGAGGCCACGTTTCCTCCCGGGCCCCGCCGGACAGAAACCCTCGATGCAGAGCGGCTCTGTCTGGCGACACGCTCCCGCCCCGCTACTGATTCGGCGGGGGCCTCACCGGGGTTGTAGTGGAAGATGATGTTGAGCAGGTCCTGGTCGCCCCACGTGATGTTCAGCCGGTACTTGTTGTACAGCGGCAGCAGCATCTCGCTCCAGCCCAGCGGCACGGCGCTCATGTCGTTCTGAGGGATCGCAAAACACGGTTCGGTCCCTCGTAGCGACGCAACGTTGTTCCCAAGCTTAAATCGCCGCCTCGCCTTTACGAGAGCTACCATGCCTCCCCCGAACCTATTGGAGACCGACGGACAGAGTTAACGCATTAACCCACGGGAAAGGATTCAGAAATGCCGGCGCCGGACCGAGCGATCCCGGCTCCCACCTTAAACTGCGCGGTGCGCAGGCCCGCCAGATCCATGAGCATAACCCCGGAGTTGACCCCCGTGCGGCCCAGGTAGGGGTGGCGGCCGAAGCGGTTGTACCAGCCGATCTGAAGCAGCTCGTGCTCGGGCGCGAGGCCCGCGAGGCGCGAGGCCCTGAAGCGGCGACGCAGCGCCCACAGCTCGTCGACTGGCGCCAGGAAGAGCACGTCCGTGTCCACGTAGAGCAGCCAGCCCACGTGGGGCAGCAGCAGCTGCGGCACCACCACCACCACCAGGCGCGCGGGATGGGGGGGGGGTGGGGCATTTTGAGCAACGAGGCGGCGCTCGTCCCCTGTTTACAGCCCGGAGCCAGTGGTGAACATTCCTCATGCCTATGGCAGGGGCAAGTATGTCCACTGACAACCGTTGTTGGTTGGCTTTCCCATACGGTGGCGCTTGGGCATTTAGACGTTAAATAGATTTAAAATTCTTTCTAGCAGTACTTGTTTTCCAGTAGGAATGAGTTACGTTTCATAACGCATTCTAACACTTGTTCAGTTGTACGTGTTTTAAATGTGATCAATGGGGACAGGCCTGAGGACATTACAACTGCAGTGCCATGCAGTGCTGCTACAGGCAATGTGGTTCTTATAGATCCCAAATGAGAACTTTAATTTCTAGGGCATGGTACGCCAAAGACAAGCCCTGAAGCCGGACAACTTGAAGCTATAAGAGCCGACCAATCGTGCAAAGCTTTGAGCAGCAGCTGCAAATTATTTAACGGTAATGATCGGTCGGTGTGAAAACTAATTTTGTGAGGGGCACGAAGAGCGGTGTTTAACAATTATTGAGACGATACCAACGTTCCAACGGCAGTAACTATCTCTGTACGAGTGGATATCTACTTATTTCGTGGAATTCCACATAAAATCGCAGTGATGTCCGGTTCACATTAGCATCAAGCTAGTGAGTCGACCTACAGGACAACCACTGTTGACTTCAAAGCAAAGTAAGTGGAAGTTATTTTATCGTCCGTGGAGATGATAGGCCAAGTCAACCACCCAACCTTCCGATTGCGAGCCGCTCACTCAACCGCCAAGCCACCTGGCCGAGTCGTACGGTGTACAGCATGACGGGTACAAATATTTCTCAATGTTGCAAATCATAATCCACTTCAATGAGGTGGGATATTTACGTTTTGGCCAAAATCCTTGGGCGAATCCAATTTACATTCTGTTGTAAACGGGGTTATAATTTGTACTGTGACCGGGTGTGGTGGTGGTGGTGAACATTGCCACCTACTGCCAGGTTCGGCGCTCTGCAGTTGAAGCCCAGAAAACATCGGCTTTTCCCGTGAACCATCGAACGGACCTCCGACCGGTATTTGAACTCGCAAGCTTCCAATAGCGAGGTGCTCGCTCCACCGCTGAGCTACGTGGCCAGATACCATTCACCCCTCTACAGATGTCACCCCGACCGTCCCCCCCCACTGGGCCGGCAACGAAGATGAGTGCCGCCCTACACTCCCGGGTCGACGTGCTATGGTGCGAGCGCCCTGGCGTCAGGAATTCTAAGTGCTCTCACGAGAGGCACAGGAGCGGCGTATCCTGCTGTGAAGCACCAGACGTTAGTCGTAAGTGTTGCCATCAAGCCGCCCATCCATATACATTTTATTAGCGTTCGAGGAGAACTGGGAAAAACGCCCTCTGGCCAAGAACCGCTTTACAAAGCACTGGCTATTTACGCAGAAACCCGATGATTATGAAAATAAATATCGTATCGTGAGACGTGATATCGTGGCAACGCTGCTTGCGCCTTCAGGCTTCGCAGCAGCGGAGCGTTCCGTGTCTCCAGGCCCTTACAGGCAGGAAGAGGCGTTGAGAGGCGCAGGGCTTAAAGAGTTTCCTCCAGGCGTCCGCGTTGTCAGCGGGGAAAGTGATTGGGTACAGCGAGAATGGCAGCTTCCTCCGGTACCGCAACGGCCACGCCAGCAGCTGAATGGGTGGGGAACGAACACGCACATTTACAAAACGGGGGTTTTTCACAGCCACTCGGAATCCGAGCGTGCTCTTCCCGGCTAGGCCGCGTGTTGAGCCTATCTTCTCTCAAGCTTTCGCCACGGACTACTGTGGACGCCTTCGGGAGTTGAGGTGAAAATCCCCGCAGCAGTGCGCAGCAAAAGTTTGGCAGACGAGATGTTCAACACGCGGGCAAACCGGGAAGACCACACTTAATAATAATTTAGGACATTTGGTAATTACACCATTCTTATAGTGCAGCGCTAGCACGTAGATGCTGCTGTTTCATAGTTATAGCCTCCAATAGTTCTACAGCAGGGGGTGACGTTCCTGTGTAATCCCAATTTAGTGTATTGCCTGTAGTTTTTGCCGGTAATTTGGATAAAGACTCCGGCACACAATGGCATACTCATTTTGAATGACATTGGAGGAGGTCGAACATCCACCGTGAATCAGACAGCGCCAACAATTTGTACAGTTAATATACCCACAGTAGTAACCAGGGTGACCCGTCGGATTCAAATCGCAAAAGTCTAACAAGCGGCAGAGGCACCACGCCACCACGCTGGAGGAGAAGATTCCCAATTGAACTTCACGCACTGCCCGGGCGATTGCTACGAGCGGAATTAAGAGCCAACACGGCACATGACGGGTGTATGGTGACCAGCACCGCGCACAAGGTGGTGGCGCGGCTAGAACCACAGACGTGACAAGGTGGTGGTGGAGCCGGCGCCACGCGTTCCGGCCCTGCTGTGCGTTCACCTGCTCCCGAAAGCCGGCGTGCAGCTCGTCCTCAGCGAAGATGTGCGCGTGCAGGCGTGCGCGGCTGAAGAGCGCTGCGGACTTCAGCATGACCATGGTCTCCTCGAGGCGAGAGCCACACGCCACCACCGCCAGCTGCAGCGCCTCGGCCACGCTCCCTCCGCGCGAACACCTACACAATGACAAGCACGGTCGCACACCCACACAATGACAAGCACGGTCGCGCACCCACACGAGGACAAGCGCAGCCGCACAGCGTCCAAACGCTCGCCAAGCAACCGTCCATCGACGCCACCCCCCCGAGCAGGCCGATGGTTGCTACCCTTGATTACCCAGGGAAGCCTCGCCGAGTCTCAACTCTTTTTGGGGAGGGTCCTGCCGAGTTTTCGCAGAATGGGGGCGATATTGCCGATATGCGTCATCCCAGCCGAGTAATATTATGCGTTTTCAATATTTAAGGCGTATTGGCCAAGACCACTTACATTATCGTGTTTAGTTATGGGAGGAATACGAGAACCCAGATGAAACCTGTGCAGGACAGGGGAAGAACATACAAACTCTACACAGAAAGGTGCCCCGAGGTTGGGAATCAAACCCAGGCACTTCTTGCTGTGAGGCACAGGTGTTACCGCTGCATCACCCAATCTGACACGATTCCAGGTCATCACGAGATTTGAGGCTCATTTATTTTGTCCTGTTTGATCGTCTTATCTTACAGGCCATGTAGGAGGAAAGGAGGAGAGGACGACGCAAGATCAATTGGATGACAAATGTGATGACACGGACGGATAAACCGGCGCAGCCGCTGCTGACGGGACAGTGCGAGGGACGGGCAAGCGTGGAGAGCACTGGCGGCATTTATATTGTCAATCTCGCTTGTTCTGTCTTGTTGGTTTTTCCAAGGGTGCATATTACTGCAGTGCAATTTGAATTCAAATTTCAATATGAATAAATAATTATACGCAGGGTTCGATGCATGTATTGAGCATGAAAATTGATTTTAATTGAAGCACTGATGCATTGCGTGATTATTGTTTTCAGTTCAATGGTGCAACATTGGAGATGATTGACATTTGAGGATGGCGCACAAACAACTCGAGGCTTTGTAATATCGGCGGACATCATCTGGAATTCCATGGCAGGATTAGGTAATAAATGTGCAAGTTCAGATAGCAAATGGCAAGAAAGCACTGTATGTGCCATCAGGCATAGGTTGTCGTGGGTTGGGTACATGTGGAGGAGGGAAGAGGGCAGGTTAGACGGATCGTAGGGCCATTCAAAGGTCGTCGACAGATTGTGGGATATTGCAGATTGTCTTTGGAGCTCTGTCGTCGACTCCAGCAAGGGTGGGATCTAGCGGTGGTGAGGTGCTTGCACGGCATACGCCTCCTGAGGGTTTGACCCTGACTCGAGTTCACAGCATTCCAAAAGAAATGCAGTTGTGTGGTTTGCAGTGCGAGTGCCTCTTGTCAATCAGTGGGGCGACCTTTTTGCCGATTCCCAGAAACAATCAGCCCCACTCATGTCTTCAGGAAGCATCCAGTAAGGGTTCCACCAGCTCTGCTCGCTGTCACACCTACATGGACAAAGAGGCAGTGTTAATTGCAGCAATGAGTGAATTTAGACTTAACCATTAAGACAACCGCAAAGGTATCCGTGAAAGTTCAAGCACACTGGCAAGAACGCTGCGTGGACACACACCCACTATCAATACAGTACTAAAACCGCTCCAGACATCTACACCACACACCACGGAAGCCTGCAAGCCAATATCATCCCGCTTGTGCCTGGTGGTTACCCATCTAAGCGCTATGCAGGCTCAGAGGCTGCTTAGATTTCTGACGATATTGACTATTCCTGGCTTTTTGTCAGAATATTAACTCCATGTGTAGTAATAAGCGAATAATACGGGTTCGTGGTAATTATCAATAACCACTGCACACCAAAGGTGATTAGTAAAGTTAGTTTAACACGTAGGCTTTCGCGACCAACATCATCCATAACAGAGGTTGTTTGGGTTAGATCGCGTAAATATCTAAATGTGCCGTTAAAACCCGGGGTGGCAACGTAGCTTGTTGACATCCGCGCCTTGTTTACGGTTCAATTCCAACGGCCGCCCTGGTCATTCATTCCTGCGGGTGTAATAACCTCAATCATACCTCGCGCCGTCCGCTCCACAGCTGACGTTAAAAGACCCCGTGACGGAATTCGCAAGAGTTGGCCACTGTGTGCGAGGGTACGCGTTTGCCAAATTGCAAAATTTCACCGCAAGCTTCTCAATTGGGATTCTACACCCATAGCAGCAATCATGTCCCCAGGTCGCTCTTGCAAACGATCCTCTTAATATACCCCCGTGTCTATGAGAGTTCTCACCTAACCCAATTAAACACAATACACCTCAATGCTACGCCATGGAACTTTGTAGCACTGTGCAGGTGCTAGTGGCGACTGCAGCACTGCGGTGACTCCACACAGAGTGACCACCACACAGTGTGACCACCACCACACAGTGTGACCACCACACAGAGTGTGACCACTACACAGAGTGTGACCACCACACAGAGTGACCACCACCACTACACAGTGTGACCACCACCACAGAGTGACCACCACTACACAGTGACCACCACACAGTGTGACCACCACCACCACGCAGAGTGACCACCACCACACACTGTGACCACCACCACTACACAGAGTGACCACCACGCAGAGTGACCACCACTACACAGAGTGACCACCACCACCATCACTACACAGTGTGACCACTACACAGAGTGTGACCACCACCATGCAGTGTGACCACTACACAGAGTGTGACCACCACTACACAGAGTGTGACCACCACTACACAGTGACCACCACCACACAGTGTAACCACCACCACCACACAGTGTGACCACCACTACACAGAGTGACCACCACTACACAGAGTGACCACCACTAGACACCACCACTACACAGTGACCACCACCACTACACAGAGTGACCACCACCACTACACAGTGACCACCACCACACAGAGTGACCACCACTAGACACCACCACTACACAGAGTGACCACCACCACCACTAGTCACCACCACCACTAGTCACCACCACCACTAGTCACCACCACTAGTCACCACCACCACTAGTCACCACCACCACTAGTCACCACCACCACTAGTCACCACCACCGCTAGTCACCACCACCACCACTAGACACCACCACTAGTCACCACTAGTCACCGCCACCACTAGTCACCACCACTAGTCACCACCACTAGACACCACCACTAGTCACCACCACTAGTCACCACCACTAGTCACCACCACCACTAGACACCACCACCACTAGTCACCACCACTAGACACCACCACCACTAGTCACCACCACCACCACTAGACACCACCACCACCACTAGTCACCACCACCACTACTAGTCACCACCACTAGACACCACCACCACTACTAGTCACCACCACTAGACACCACCACCACTAGTCACCACCACCACCACTAGTCACCACCACCACTAGTCATCACCACCACTAGTCACCACCACTAGTCACCACCACCACCACTAGTCACCACCACCACTAGTCACCACCACCACCACTAGTCACCACCACCACCACTAGTCACCACCACTAGACACCACCACCACTAGTCACCACCACCACCACTAGTCACCACCACCACTAGTCACCACCACTAGTCACCACCACCACCACTAGTCACCACCACCACCACTAGTTACCACCACCACCACTAGTCACCACCACTAGTCACCACCACCACCACTAGTCACCACCACTAGTCACCACCACCACTAGTCACCACCACTAGTCACCACCACCACCACTAGTCACCACCACCACCACTAGTCACCACCACTAGACACCACCACCACTAGTCACCACCACCACTAGTCACCACCGCTAGTCACCACCACCACCACTAGTCACCACCACCACCACTAGTCACCACCACCACTAGTCACCACCACCACTAGTCACCACCAACACTAGTCACCACCGCTAGTCACCACCACCACCACTAGTCACCACCACCACCACTAGTCACCACCACTAGACACCACCACCACTAGTCACCACCACTAGTCACCACCACCACTAGTCACCACCACCACCACCACTAGTCACCACCGCTAGTCACCACCACTAGTCACCACCACTAGTCACCACCACTAGACACCACCACCACTAGTCACCACCACTAGTCACCACCAGCGTTACCGTCGTCTCCGCGGCGTCCCGCGGGCTGCCCGCCGCTCGGATAGATTCGCCGCCGGCGAGGAGCCACCCTCGGCGGCAGCGCGAGGACATCGCCCCGAGGCCCCATCCGCGGACACCGCGACAACCGCGACCACCACTACCGCGGCTGCGAGCGACAGCTGCAGCAGTGGAGAGAGCAAGGCGGGTGTCGCCGCGCGCACGCCGCGCCGCATGTTTGCTACACCGGCTTCATGGTGCAGGGGGGTGGGGGCGCAGGGGGCGCCGCGCTTGGCATGGCCGGGCGCAATCAGTGGCAGGGCTCTACACGAGACGCGCATGGGGGGGGCTGGTGGGGGGTGGTGGGGGTGGGGAAGGGGAGTGGTGGGGGGGGTGGCGGGGAGTGGTGGGGGGGGTGGAGGGGAGTGGTGGGGGTGGTGGAGGGGAGTGGTGGGGGGATCGGTGGGAGTGGTGGAGGGGAGTGGTGGGGGTGGTGGGGGGAGTGGTGGAGGGTGGGGGGAGCGGTGGGGGGAGAGGTGGGGGTGGGGGGGAGCGGTGGGGGTGGGGGGGAGCGGTGGGGGTGGGGTGGTGGAGGGGAGTGGAGGGGGGAGTGGTGGGGGCGGGGGGAGCGGTGGGGGGAGTGGTGGGGGGAGCAGTGGGGGGGAGTGGTGGGGGTGGTGGAGGGGAGTGGTGGGGGGAGCGGTGGGGGGAGCGGTGGGGGGAGCGGTGCGGGTGAGTGGTGGAGGGTAACGGTGGAGGGGGAGTGGTGGGGGTGTAGGGGGGAGTGGTGGGGGAGTGGTGGGGGTGGGGGGAGTGGTGGGGGTGTAGGGGGGAGTGGTGGGGGTGGTGGAGGGGAGTGGTGGGGGGAGTGGTGGGGGTGGTGGAGGGGAGTGGTGGGGGGAGTGGTGGGGGGAGCGGTGGGGGGAGTGGTGGGGGTGGTGGGGGGAGCGGTGGGGGGGAGTGGTGGGGGTGGTGGGGGGAGCGGTGGGGGGAGTGGTGGGGGTGGTGTCAGAGCAGCGACCATCAACATCACAGCCATCATCAACATCACAGCCATCATGAGCATCACAGCAATCAACATGGCAATTATCGCTACCATCATCATAGCAACCATCAACATCACAGCCATCATCACTATCAACATCACAGCCATCATGAGCATCACAGCCATCACCATGACAACTATCACTACCATCATCATAGCAACCATCAACATCACAGCCATCATCACTATCAACATCATAGCCATCAACATGGCAACTATCACTACCATCATCATAGCAACCATCAACATCACAGCCATCATCACCATCAACATCACAGCCATCACGATGACAACTATCACTACAATCATCATAGCAACCATCAACATCACAGCCATCATCACCATCAAAATCACAGCCATCATGAGCATCACAGCCATCACCATGACAACTATCACTACCATCATCATAGCAACCATCAACATCACAGCCATCATCACCATCAACATCACAGCCATCACCATGACAACTATCACTACCATCATCATAGCAACCATCAACATCACAGCCATCATCACTATCAACATCACAGCCATCACCATGACAACTATCACTACCATCATCATAGCAACCATCAAAATCACAGCCATCATCACCATCAAAATCACAGCCATCATGAGCATCACAGCCATCACCATGACAACTATCACTACCATCATCATAGCAACCGTCAACATCACAGCCATCATCACCATCAACATCACAGCCATCACCATGACAACTATCACTACCATCATCATAGCAACCATCAACATCACAGCCATCATCACCATCAAAATCACAGCCATCATGAGCATCACAGCCATCAACATGGCAACTATCACTACCATCATCATAGCAACCATCAACACACAGCCATCAACATGGCAACTATCACAACCATCGTCATAGCATCCATCAACATCACAGCCATCATCAACATCACAACAGCAAATCATCGCCACCAGTACAACCTTCGTCTTGGCTAAGAGGTCAGTGCACGTAGCCTGGCACCGCTGAGATCATAGCGCACTGTGACAGCTGTCAAGGGGCCGTCAATAAATGACGTCACGCACCTGGGGGGGGCGGGGTCAGACATTTGTGACGATGAGTGACGAGACGGGGGGGAGTGAGAAATGTGACGTCACATCTAAATGCGCAACTTTTAATAAATATAGACAACACGTTCTACTTAAATTTTGATTTAAAGCTTTCGTGACTGCAGTAATTCATATTCTTAGTTCTTTCGGTAAAGTCACGTTGAAGGGAAACAATAAAATAATTATTATATATAATAAAATATTATTGTTTCCCTTCAACGTGACTTTACCGAAAGAACTAAGAATACGTTCTACTTAATTAAATAGACTTTTTAATAAATGTTTTCTCCTACAACATCAGAGTGCAGCGCCACATTAAATACGCACTACAATGACAATAGTTTAAAGCGAATTGAAGCATGTTTTATTTTTAAAATGGAAATCTGGTTTTGGGGGGGGTGGGGGGTGAAGAGCTTTGTGACGTCATATTTGAGGGTTGAGGATCTGACTTTTAGTGACGTCGTGTGACGAGGGGGAGGGGTCAAAAATTCCCCAAAATCGCGTGACGTCATTTATGGACGGCGCCCAATGTGTTTTTGAGTTTCCAGGCCAGTCTTAAATGGCGAAGCTGTTGAGTTGTTTTGGGTGCCAAGTGCTGCACCCTTTTCCAATGCGTACAATGCTTCAAAAATCGTATTGTTCAACAAGTTGACGTTATTGTTACGAATTTTAGGCGTTTCAAATGTGTTCATTTTTTTCTACCTACCACGTGACTTTACCGAAAGTACCAAAGAGTACGGATTCCCGCAGTCACGAAAGCTTCAAATCAAGAGTGGTTCATTCTTTATTTAACATAATACCATCTTTTTGCAGGGAATGAGAATCCCAATTGGATGTTTTCTTTAATTGTGTGTAGCGCAGGTGGCAGGTCAATGAGTCTGCGCCACCAAATATCGTGGGTTTGAATGCCGGCATGCGACCCGTGAGTCAACTGGTATATCAAGTACAAGCTTTACCTACCCGGCCGCCTTTGTCTCCCCAGTGGCGATGTTCACACACCACAGCAGTTACTCGTTTGAGGCTGAGTCGACCTAGGGGAGGCCCAGGACCGGTTAAAATAATCGTCACCGGTGGTGGCCGTGAACGGGAATCGAAGTCGGGTCGCCGGGTTCGTAGCGCGGCATAGCGCTAACCACTACACTATAATGCGTTACGCTTCCACACACACACACAGACAAAGACAAAGATCCCCCGTATAGCCTTAACAGACTGTAGGGGCAAGTGCTGTTAGCGAGCACACAGACACACACACAGACACATACACAGCGCGCTAACCACTACACTCCATGCGTTACGCTTCCACACACACACAGACACACACACATACACAGCGCGCTAACCGCTACATTCCAATGCGTTACGCTTCCACACACACAGGCACACACAGACACAGCGCGCTAACCACTACACTACAATGCGTTACGCTTCCACATGCGCGGGTCACATGACAGATTTGACGTGACAGCTCACTTACTGTGCAAAAAATATATTGATTATTGAGCTCCCCCCCCCCCCCCTAAAAAAAGGTGTATTTTTATAATTTTTGCATGGTGTACAGTCTAGAAAGTACCCACATGGCAAATTTCAAGTTTGTTGCATGTCGAGAAGTACGCCAAACATTTTGAACAGACAACACATTCACAACTTTGCCTTTTATATATATGGAGATAGTGAGTGAGTCCATGATGGTTTCAGCATTGCCACTAATTATTCTATAACGCTTGTTTAACGAGGAGAGCCTCGTCGAGTCTAATAACGCTTATTTATTACTAGAGTCCTGGCAAGGTTTCTCAATCGGTGGGAGGGGGGGGGGGATAATTATTACGTGTGATAACCTCATTCCAGTTATTTGGGGGGGCGGGGGGGGGATGGGAAATTGATCTAATTTGGCCCATGGGGTTCGTATATAAGTCTCGGCGCCGCTCGCCTGCCTCACTCTCAGTGAGGTGGCTGTTAACCGGGCGAAACAAAAATAAAGTGAAATTTTGATTTAGAGCTTTCGTGACTGCAGTAATTCATATTCTTAGCTCTTTCGGTAAAGTCACGTTGGAGGGAAACAATAAAATAATAAAATATATACAGACCACGATATATTATTATATATAAACCACTATATATTATTTTATTGTTTCCCTTAAACGTGACTTTACCGAAAGAGCTAAGAAAATAAAAATAAAGTGCTTCAGAAAGTTTGAAAAACTCTTGAAAAAGGTGATTGTCGAGTTTTTATTTTGACAAAAAAAATATTCGTAAAAGAAAGCGTTAGAAAGAGAGGTGAGTGTCACGGTATTGTTCAACACACAAATCTATTTCATTAGACCTCCTTCGCCTTTTGGCGTCATCTGGTCCAGCACCAATTGGGTCGAGGCTCAAAAGAAAGCCGTCCATTGGCGTGGACCAATCAGTTTCAAGGACAATGCATATATTATCATAGTGTGTTTTTTTGATTTAAAGCTTTCATGACTGCAGTAATTCATATTCTTAGTTTTTTCGGTAAAGTCACGTTGAAGTCACGTTGTTGTTTCTCTTCAACGTGACTTTACCGAAAAAACTAAGAATAAGTGTGTTTTTTGTTTGCATTTTGACTGCAGGTATTGTGGTTAATGCAGACATGAATCTTTGTAAAAAGGTTTCAGTTTTGTTGCCAGAAAAAAGGGGAAAACATCTGATGAAGGCCGCTTGTGTTGTGGCCGAAACGTTGTGATTTTTGTTATTTTATTTTTTTACCTACGTGACTTTACCGAATAGAACCAAAGAGTATGGATCCTTGCAGTCACGAAAGCTTCAAATCTAGAATTCCGAGGTAAAGTTAACCAGTTGCGTTGCTTCACCGGTTTAGTTTGTACATGTTTTAAAGTTATAAAGTGCTTCTACCGCGATGTGATGTGTGTATATACAACGTAGTTGACTGATAAATCGATTTGATGAGGTGGCCCCACTTAAGTTGTAATGGGGCTGAATGACCGCTGTAAAGTATGATCTTGAGTTTTTTATTATAGTGTGTGCTGACCTTTAGAGGTGTATTGAAAAATGTTGATACTGCTTCTGATACTCCAGCTGTTATAGAGTGACTCGTGCAGCCCAGCTATGGCTGCAAATTTGGTCGTACGTGTTATGTACATATCGTGTATTGTTAAATTTGAATCACAGTGCCTACGATCACTGTTGCATTGTTTTTATAGCTTTGTTTTGGTGATTTTGAAAACGTTTCAGTTTTGCCATGTTTGTTGTAGTACAGAGTTAGCCTGATAACTTTAATCAAAATAGTTTTATGGTTGTTATTGTTTGACTTGCATCCCACTGGGATTTTTGCACACAGCGTTGAAATACGGTGTTTTTTTTCCGGAAGACTTTGCTGTTTTTTTTTCCTGGATTTATATGTTGCACGTAGTCACTTTAAGATGTTTCTTGTTCGTGTTTTTGTCTTGTTGCTGTTGCACCCGAGTAAAGAGCCACGTGGCTATACCCTAACAAATGAAACTCCACAACAACGCCGCTCTCTGCACTTGCATACAGCAGCTAACTCGCAGCCACAACTTGCTGATCTTTTATTTCTTCACCGTAGTATCGTTTGTAAGAAGTGTAATGAATATCTTGATTTAAAGCTTTCGTGGCTGCTAGGATCCATACTCTTTGGTTCTATTGGGTAAAGTCACGTAGGTGAAAATAAAATAACAAAAAATCACGACGCTCCAGCGCTGTCCTCCAGACAGTCTTGTCCCTTCACCTGATGAAGGCCGCTTGTGTTGTGGCCGAAACGTCGTGATTTTTTGTTATTTTATTTTCACCTACGTGACTTTACCCAATAGAACCAAAGAGTAATGAATATCTTCTCTCATTGTTTGGAATCTTTCTAATTTGATGGTGGGCCTGAACGAGGAGATGATTTGTGCTCGAAAGGCGGCCACGTGTGTCAACAAAAGTACGACGGACTCGACGATCGTGGGACGGCGACTATCTTTCACCTTCAGTTCGTGAAGTCTGTGCGCGCGTTCAGCCCGGCCGGTGATGTTCTCATGCGGTTAAGGGTTCCGCCAGAGTTTAAGTTTGGCTAAACGGGGATCATCCGTGGAACAGAACAGTTTCTTCGATATGAATCTTGATTTGAAGCTTTCGTGACTGCAGTGATCCATACTCTTTGGTTCTTTCGGTAAAGTCACGTAGAAGGGAAACAATAAAATAATAAAAATATAAAACAATAAAATTATCACGACGTTTCGACTGCAACACAAGCAATAATCATCAGGTGTGAAAACCATGGTGATTGCTTGTGCTGCAGTCGAAACGTCGTGAGAATTTTATTGTTTTATATTTGTATTATTTTGTTTCCCTTCTACGTGGTGACTTTACCGAAAGAACCAGGAATATGAATCCCTGCAGTCACGAAAACTTTAAATCACGTTCTACTTAATTAAATAGAATTGTTATAAGAACACTAATTTTAATTAATTTTCATTATTAACTATTTGATTATTTAAATTTACCAAGGTCACCTTTTTATTCCATGAAGGAGCATTCAATTTTTTGAATGATTGAATGATATTAAACATTTTAATTTTTATGATTCTACCAGGGCTTTTCATTCTGTGGAATGAATATGAGAATGTTATAATTGTATTCTCCATTTTGTTTCGTACTACTTTCAAGTATTTTTTTTAATAGTTATAATTGCTTTTAATGTTTTTTATAATCATAAGAGAATTTCAATAAAATATTCTGAACATCTGTAGTTTTAGTTTGACGTTGAATATTTCCAAGTGACTTTTATGCTAAATTTCAGCTTTCCAACGACTCCTTTTTAATAAATGTTTTCTCCTATAACATCAGAGTGCAGCGCCACATTAAATACGCACTACAATGACAATAGTTTCAAGTTATTTGAAGTATGTTTTATTTTCAAAATGGAAAAAAAAATTTGGGGGGGGGGGCAGAGCTTTGTGACGTCATATTTGAGGGGGGTCTGACTTGTGACAGGGGGGGGGGAGGTAAAAAAAATCGTCCAAAATCGCGTGACGTCATTTATGGACGGCCCTCTAATGTTGCCCAACAAAAAGACCGGTGTCTTCGAGGAGGAATGTCAAAGCCAGCAGGAGGGTGAGACGATGGAGTCTCGACTGAGGAGGCGTTTGCTCTGTTTGCGCGTAGTCACTTTAAGATGTTTTCTTGTTCATGTTTTTGTTTGTTGCGGTTGCACCCGAGTCAAGAGCCGCACGGCTCACAGGGCTATACCAAAACATTCCTGCGGAGGGAGCTGGTAGGAACGTTGGGTTGCTCGGTCAATGGCCAGGGTCAACGGCGGCACCACCACGTGGTGTATTCCGCAAATATGCCCGACTGTGAGGGCGGGCACAAGCCGGCGTGAGTAGGTTAAACGTTGAGTTTTATAAGGGCACCACGGGGTGACCAGCCCAGCCCCTCCCCACCCAGCCCCTCCCCACCCTCCCCTCTCCACCCAGCCCCACCCCTCCCATTTTATCCGGGTGTCCGGATACACGTGGACAGACATCCACAGACATACACAATTAATCCCCTGCCTCCTGTGAATTAATCCCGGTTGGGCTTCCAGTCCACTGCGTTTCCTACCAGTATAAATGAAATGTAAGGCACGGTGTCCCCCCCTCTCTCTCTCTCTCTGCGTGATCTGCTCACGGGGAAAAGGGAGCCTTGCAGAGCAAGGACGTTGAGCTTGCAGACTGCCCGGCTGCCCACGCATTTCACTCCGCTTAGGGGCCGTCCATAAATGACGTCACGCGATTTTTGACCCCCCTCCCCCATCGTCACGCGGCGTCACAAAAAGTCAGACCCCCCCCAAATATGACGTCACAAAGCTCTGCCCCCCCCCCCAAATATATATATAAAACATGCTTCAAATCGCATTCAACTATTGTCATTGTAGTGCGTATTTAATGTGGCGCTGCATTCTGATGTTGTAGGATTGTAGGACAAAACATTTATTAAAAAGTATATTTAATTAAGTAGAACGTGTTGTCTATATTTATTTAAAGTTGCGCATTTTGATGTGACGTCACATTTCTAACCCCCCCCTCTCTCGTCACACATCGTCACAAATGTCTGACCCCCCCCCACCCCTCTAGGTGCGTGACGTCATTTATGGACGGCCCCTAATAATAATAATAGGTTCACAGGTGAAGAGGTCTCGTTGAGCTTGCGCGTCGCATCTGGCCGGGAATTAAGCTGTGTTGGCGTGCGTGCGATTACAATCAGCGTCATACGAGGCTGGTGATTGACAGCTCGCCTTAGTCCCTCCCCCATACCGCGACCCCTCCTTCCCCCGTGCATTAGCTCCGCCCCTTGTCTGGGCCCCTCCCCCTCGCGATCCCCCGCAGCAGGCCGCTCGTTGTGGTGGAGGGGGGGAGGGCGCCTCCGGAAGTGACGTCGCGCGCAGGGCGTCGCCATGGCCACGTGAGGAGGTGGAGGAGATGGAGCGGCGGGGTTTGTAGCGTAGAGCGATTGGCAGTGCGGGGCCCCCGTGCAGCAACAACAACAGCAGCAGCGGCGGCGGCGGCGGCAGCGGCGGCGGCAGCAGCGGGGGAAGCAGCAGCAGCACTAGGTGGAGCACCCGCGCTTGGCAGCGCGGCGGGCAAGGTACAAACCTGTCACGTGTACTGCAGCACTGTACAGTGTTGCTCTTGTACTGTACAGTGCGTTACGGTCTCAAGTGCTGCAGCAGTACAGTGGCTGCCCATTCAGTCAAGTCTCGCTGCGTGTGGGACGTCGAGGTTGTTGTGGCCAGACTTCACGGACGGCGGTCGGTGCGGGTTTGTGAAGGCGGAGGCGGTTAGACGTACAGTACAGGCAGGGCAGCACCGAGGCGCTACAGATCCCCGTGAGAAACCGATTTGTTCGCATGTTTCTAACCGTCCTAGATTTAAAGCTTTCGTGACTGCTAGGATCCATACTCTTTGGTTCTATTGGGTAAAGTCACGTGGGTGAAAATAAAATAACAAAAAGTCACGACGTTTCGGCCACAACACAAGGGGCCTTCATCAGGTGAAGGGACGAGACTGTCCGGAGGACAGCGCTGGAGTGGGAGAAGCCACGCTTAGATCACGACCTTTAAGCTTGTGATCGTGATCTAAGCGTGGCTTCTCCCACTCCAGCGCTGTCCTCCAGACAGCCCCGTCCCTTCACCTGATGAAGGCCGCTTGTGTTGTGGCCGAAACGTCGTGATTTTTCTAACCGTCGTTCATTCGGTCAGAACAAGCACCGTGCCACGTCTCACGACTCTGGTTTTGCCGATTGGCAAACACAAAGGGAGGAGGCGTCATCACGGCGAGGCCACTGCAACCCACGGAATTACCTCAACGCAGTTGTTGCTTTACGATGTCAACATCGACCATACGAAGAAGAAGAAGTTCCATTCACTATCCAGGCCTTAAGCCCAGCTTAAAGTACTCTCGTCATATTATCATACGTTTTGATACCGTAAGTGTTCAATGTACAATGACGGCTACTTTAGGTGTCGTGCAATGTGAAATGTAGCACTGTCGTATTTGTACTATGATATACGTTGCTGTGTGATGTGTATTATAATATACAACATCGTGCAAGCCGCGTGAGAGGTGGCGGTGTTTGCCAAGCCACTGTCTCGCCTCCGTCCCTGCCAGTGCCTGTGGGCGACACGGGAATCCGTGGCCAGCCGCACGAGACGACTTGGCTGTAGAGTGTAGACGGACCAGCAAAGCTTTTCAATGGTCACAATGTAACCATTTGTTTTTTGTTCCTGGTTACTAAGTGGTGTTATTTCCTAATTGCCTATGCCTCAAGAGTACGGGGAAACTGGATATTATTCCCCGCAAACTTTGCTTTTGCGACCGGGGACGGTGATGTTTTGAAATGTACCTATTTTCAATGGAGAGAACGGGCGAATTCGTGTGTGCGTCTGCATGTATTTATGCTAAAGTAATACAAAAATGACTACGAAAGATGTGGACACCGAGGCGCACTACCACAGGCGGGACTGGCCACAGCGGACCGAGTTCTCTGTGGGGAGGAGGAGCAACGTCAAGTGGGAGCCACTGGTGGACCCCCGGGAGGTGCTGATGCCACCACTGCACATCAAATTGGGCCTCGTGAAACAATCTGTCAGAGTTATTCTTGGTTCTTTCGGTAAAGTCACGTGGATAGAAAAATAATAATAAAATAAAACAATAATACATATCAAATAATAAAAGCAAAAAAATCCACGATATTTCGATCGTAACACAAGCGGGCTTGTATTATTTTTATTTTAAATTTTATTTATTTTTATTATTTTTTTATTTTACCGAGAGAACCAAGAATATGAAGTCGTGCAGTCACGAAAGTTTTAAGTGAAAATTTTAATGTCAGAGCTGTAGATAAGGAGTCGGCAGCCTTCAAGTACCTTCAAGACTTCTAAGCTGTCTGAGGCAAAGGTCAAAGCCGGTGTCTTCGTCAGACCACAGATAAAGAAGATCCTGGAGTGCAGTGAATTCCCCAAGAAGCTCACTAGTAAGGAGAAAGCTGCTTGGACCAGCTTTGTCGCATTGGTTCGTGGCTTCCTGGCCAATGACAAGGTCGAAAACTATGCGAAGCTGGTTGAGACTGGTGAAGAACTACAGCACAGTGGGCTGTAGGATGTCCCTCAAAGTCCATATCCTTGATGCTCATCTTGATAAATTCAAGGAGAGCATGGGAGCGTACTCGGAGGAGCAAGGCGAGCGCTTCCACCAGGATATACTGGACTTTGAACGCCGCTACCAAGGACAGTATAACGAGAACATGATGGGAGGCTACGTTTGGGGGCTGATTCGTGAAAATGATTTACAGTATAATCGTAAATCTCGATAAACTACTAAATCTTTTGTAGTCATTTTTTATTACTTTGGTATAAATACATGTTGATTTTGATTAATATGTAGTTTTTTTCTGATTTTATGTGAACGAAAAAAACACATTCGCCCGTTTTCTCATTGGAAAAAGGTAAATTTTTAAATATCACTGTCGTGGTCACGAAAGGAAAGTTTGTGGGGAATAATAGGCATTTTCTATACTTTTTAGGCATTAAGCAATTACGAAATAACACTTACTACCCAGGAACACAAATTGTGTTACATAGCGTCATCAGTGTGGATGCAACTCTTCACTTGTCTGAAATTCTATGCTAATTCCTTTGTCAAGGGGTGCCTCTGCGGATGTGTATGCTTTAACTTTTAACATAGCTATTTCTGTGACCAGTCACAAGCTAATCACTCAGCCATTTCAATGCTAAATTATATGCTAATTCCTTTGTCAAGGCGCTTTGTTTGCTCTCACACAGCTTAAAGGTCGTGATCTGAACGTGGCTCTTTCACTCCAGCGCTGTCCTACCATACAGTCTCGTCCCTTCACCTGATGAAGGCCGCTTGTGTTGTGGCCGAAACGTCGTGAGAATATTATTGTGTTATTTTATTTTATCAATTTATTATTTTATTCTCATTCTACGTGACTTTACCGAAAGAACCAAAGAAGATAGCAGTGATATTTTAGGTTTGGTGACCTGCTTTAAGGAGTTAGCAACACTGCACACATTAACCAACACGAGACATTCATGCAAAGAAAAAAAACGTTCTTTAACAGCATAACATAAATTCCAGCATGCTTTGTACCTCGTAAGTTTCAGAATAGTGGTTTGCCATGGCCCCCGGTTCCTTTTATTCACTTATAATTTTGTTCGTAGGACAGTGATATAGATGTTTATATCAGTAACGTCGAACTTGATTTTGTCTATCACTATCCTAAATTTCACACTTAACTTACAATTTAACAATCTTTGAAACAGCGTATTCAACCAAACCATGCGTTGATTGTGTTTTAACCGACCGTTTGTGTTGCGTTATATAGTTTACAAATTTTGCTAAACCCTGTTTGATTTCTTTGTGATGTTCCGTCTCTCTGTATACCCTGGTATATATCTGTGTTAATTCCCCCTACTTAAGGTCTGTATATATATCTTCGGTTATGTGTTTCCTCTACCTGATGATGATTGCTTGTGTTGCGATCAAAAACGTCGTATGCTATTATATAATTTTATTTTTTATTATTTCTACGTGACTTTACCGAAAAAAACAAAGAGTAATCAGTAACGTCGTCTGATGTAACCGCGTAACGTAATCGATGAAAGTTAATACGTTTCTTGAATTTAACAAGGTTATTATCAGAACTTGGGAAACAAGACGAGGATAGGGAATTGCCAATTAGAGCAGTGCAAGGGAAGAAGCAGAAAGATAATTGTCGTCACATGCAGTGTGTGAGTGGGTGGGTGAGTGAGTGTGTTGTTGTGACCTGCAGTGGTACTGGTGGTTGAACACAGTATGGATGATAGACCGGATCCTTGGCATGCGCAGAACAAAAATGAACGAGTGACGTTTATGGGAACCGGTGGCTTGATCCGGCACACACCGATTCACGAGCGGTCAGTCGTCTTGTTATCTCTCTCCTATCACCACTTCCATGGTTGCCGTTTCCCATACATTTCACTCGTTACATTTTTGTACCCGTGTTGACGACGCGGTCGGTCCACCATACACCCTTTGTTGACTCATCTCTACTGCGTTTACCCGCCATACTGTAGGTCACAGCACTTCCCTTTCTGATTATTTCCTTGAACTGCTGCGCTTGGGAATTCTCTCCCATTTCCCGCAATATTAAAAAAATGCCTGTCCTTGTGAAGCGGATCACGCTGCGTTACGTATTTAAACGTTACTATCACTTTTAGAACATTGTCTAGTAACATGACCTGCTCCGGCACCTGTTGGATGGGGGGGGGGGGGCAGTAGAGTGGCTTTGTGTGCAACCATAACTGTGGCGTTCCACCAAGGAGCGTGAACTTGGGTGGAGGGCCAGAGGGACATGTGGTGGTGGTGCAGGACCCACCCCAGCGCCCTCTGAGTGGCAAGATGCAGATACCGTGGGCCCTCGTATACATATCGGGTGGGTACCGAGGGCCCATGTGTAAGAGGCAGGCCAGCATTTGTAGACCGCTGAAACCTCACCTCTTGGGCTAAGTCCAATCTACATCATTAGACCTCCTTTGCCAGTACAAAAATGTAGTAATAGGGTTTTTCCCCTTTTTTCTGGCAGCAAAACTGAAACTTTTTTTACAAGGATTCATGTCTGCATTAACCGAAATACCTTGCAGTCAAAATGCAAACAAAAAACATAATATGATAATATATGCATTGTCCTTGAAACTGATTGGTCCACACCAAGGGACGGCTTTCTTTTGAGCCTCGACCCAATTGGTGCTCGACCAGATGACGCCAAGTACACTACAAAAGGCCTTTTGGCGCCATCTGGTCGAGCACCAATTGGGTCGAGGCTCAAAAGAAAGCCGTTCCTTGGTGTGGACCAATCACTTTCAAGGACAATGCATATATTATCATTGTATGTTTTTTGTTTGCATGTTGACTGCAGGTATTGTGGTTAATGCAGACATGAATCCTTGTATAAAGGTTTCGGTCTTGTTGCCAGAAAAAAGGGGGAAAACCCCTATTATTACTAAGTCAATCTGTTAGCCTTTAGCGACCCCCCCCCAGTAATGTAAGCCACTTGTGTATTGTGTAGATGTATTGTCCCTACAGGATGCACTGCAAAGAGCAAGGCATGTTCATTCTTGTAAATGCGCTTACGTAAGTGCTGTTAATTTTAAAACCATTGCCCACCGCTGCTAATTAGCGCGGTTGGCTACGTACGCTGCAAGAGAAGTTCAACATACATGCACGCTGGGCGAGGACCTTCCCCGTGCCGTGAGGGTTGTTTGACGATAAGGTGGGGAGCATAGGTGCAAGAGCACACAAGTACACTACAACAATAGATTGTGCTGGATTTGCCTCCTGCTGCCCACAGGTTAATATGGAGACAACTCTATTCGTTGCTCTTTTGTCAGCACACCTGCTATTTTATGGCCACTCCATTGGTTGTGGGATTTCTACCACTGGCTCTGCGCTACCACAAGCAATGACCTGTTTGAGCACGGGGACACGTTAACTTGCCTATTGGTATATTATTATTGTGTTGGGCTGTTGCCAAACCAGACATTTGGCTGTTTGATGGCTGGAGCAAACGGAAATCAGCAGCGTAAGAGCATACTCGTGCATTTCAAGCACATTAACTGTATGCAAGTCATACCGATTTAATTTGTATTTATCCATTTGTGATTCAAAATTATGTACAATTATTAATGCAAATGAATCGCAAATATATTTCAGACATCATTCTCGGTCTCTCCATTTCGGCAATCTGCCACGGACCTGCTTAATGAAGTATGGTCATCTGTCAGTGGACTTACGGAGCTGTATTATTATTTATTGTTACGAAGGAGGAATTTGGAGACCGCAGAAGCAGCAACCCCCTCAATGAGGGGCGTTAAATGGTGTGGTTCCAAGGTCTTAGTCGCTTGGCATGTCATTATTTTGGCCATTGTATATGCTTTGAATATTACGTGTATAAATAAATTATTCAAATTTTATACCAATGCACATTTGATAGAATAGGACGAAACAAAACCAGACGATACAAACACAACCGAACCCTTCAGAACACAGGAGATCTCATTCACGAAATATATCTCAGATTTTTCTTGGCACTCGACATAGTAATGTGGAATTTCGGCTGCTGATTCAGAGGCTGCAGACAGAGGTAGCACTGCCCCATGCTCGGTTGAGCACGAATACTCTACGATGGCTTTACATATATATGTGTTGGGCTGTGATTCATAATCCTGTACAGAACCTGTCCCCTATGTAATGATAATTGCTGTCCTGCATGCGCATAACCTGTTTCTCATGTGCAGGCTATAATTAGCGAGCACACCGCAGGCCAGCGATCAAAACGCAAAACACGCGGCTGTTGTACTTTTGAATGAGATGCTCTCTTCAGACCGCACCGATGACATCAACTGCTGTCCAGTGATATGAAGGCTCTTGGGTTTGTGTGCCTGGTGGTCACTCATCCAAGCACTATCCAGGCTCCAATTTGCTTAGCTTCCAAAGTCTGACGAGATTGGGCACATTCCGGAAGATTTTGTCTGGGTCAAATCATTACATTTATATAACTTGAAATAAAACATTGATTTTCAAATGCGCAATACAGACATACTGGTTACATAACAGCATACGCTCGTTGCTACTGTATTAGTGTTTTATTTTTTGGCAATTAAATGTTCGATTTATGGTGGAAACCACAGAAATGTCTGGGCAGCAGTGGATAAATCAGCCAAGAAGAAGAAAACAACACACGTTGGAAACATTAACGTATTACAATTTTGGAAAGAATTTCCAGAAAGTTATTTGCTGATTTATTATATAGTCTCATTCACTACTTGTGCCAAATTTAATTGGTGTAAAGTTCACGTTATGTAGCCATCTGGAACTCTGGACTCTGTCTGGCAGGACTACCAACTATCTCCCAAACTGATTCGCATCAGGCCTACTAAAGCCTTCATGTGACCCGCTCTTGCACGCCTCTGTTATTTTTATCCCCACCTAAACAAGCATCTGATATAGGATCCTCCCATCGCTGAGCCACCTGGTACGGACTAAAAGCAACAAACCAATCTGCACGACCCACAATGCTAGGTTAGGTCACCATTTTCATTTGTGGAAAAAACAGAGGAAGCCCGAAATGCGACTGCGGACACCTTGACCAAAACACACAGCGCATTGTGAACCATTCAGTGAACGTCGAATCTTGGAGCGCGTTATGAACCAGCGCCAACTTCGCAAATTCAATGGAAGTATGGCAGCAGGAGCAGTTCATTCAGCTTCACCTGAAACAGTCACGTGGTTCTCAAACGTGTATATACATCTCTAAATTGTTATTCACTTTGTCATACACAACAATAAGAATTGCCACTTCTGACGACATGAAACGTTTCCTTTGATCGGATGATTCCCCACCCCTCACTGCAAGGTTTTGTAAGTGCAATGCTGCACTCCTTTGTGTGTTAACGCTGTTCGTTTCCAGCCTGCATTGATTGCTCCGTTGTGATAGATTTTCCCATCATGTACAGACGAGTGCTTCACCAAAGCCTACCAAGTGTGCATTTACGCACACACTCACACACTTTGGTGTGGGTGTCTCTGTGTCCCATTGCAGCGTGAGCGACGTCGTAAGGGAACGGTTTCTGCTGCTGCACCGAGAATGATGAGGTTACGAGGTGCGACGGGGTTCACACGCATTCGCCGGGGCCGTGAGACCACATCGCCACAGTCCGCGGATCCCTCCACTGGCTCCCGGCCCACTCTTGTCAATTACAAGAGTCCCTCGCCGTTCTCAGTACCCTCCATGGACTCGTCCCTATCTGCCTCTCCCCTCTCCTCATCTCACATTATTCCCCATCACATACACTCCTAATCTCACCCATGTCCTATCACTCTACTCCCTTCCGCACATTCTCCATTGTCTCCCATGTCATCTCACTTCTCCGCCATATGCTCACTCCTACCTCTCATCTCACTCTACGACCCTACACCTGCTGGAGCAACCAAAACATTGACAGAATCTCGATTTAAAGCTTTCGTGACTGCAATGATTCATCTTCTTTGGTTCTTTCGGTAAAGTCACGTAGAATGAGAATAAAATAATAAATTGATAAAATAAAATAACACAATAATATTCTCACGACGCACTTCATCAGGTGAAGGGACGAGACTGTCTGGTAGACAGTCTCGTCCCTTCACCTGATGAAGGCCGCTTGTGTTGTGGCCGAAACGTCGTGAGAATATTATTGTTATTTTATTTTATCAATTTATTATTTTATTCTCATTCTACGTGACTTTACCGAAAGAACCAAAGAAGATTGACAGAATCATCAACCAACCGTCTTGTCAGCTGCTGCTCTGTGATCTGTGCTATTGACATTCTGCTGCTGTTCATGTGCGGACTCGAGACCTCCCTCATTTCCCCTCCCTGTAAATTGCTGTCTCCCACCTATAAAGGTTAATCAAGGAGGTGTATATCAATATATTAAATAGTTGATAGCATGGATGGCTGGGGGGAGGTTCAGAACACACAGGTAGCAGAGGAAAATGAGCAACCTCCCACTGAATGAAGATTGACTTGTTACTCCGGTATATATCCTGCTTTGCTGGAGCGCAGAGCACGTGGAGGGGAGTAGAGTGAGATGAAAGGGGAGGGGCAAGGTAAAAAGGGGCATTGAAAGCGCAGAGGGTTCTTGTACTTGACTCGAAATGGATTGGGAGCAAGTGCCGGGATCCGAGGTAGGAAACTGCGTCATCCACTCACCTCCGATTAGCATGGTTGGCTAGAAGTTGGACATACATACATCTAAACGTGCTTCATTACTTCCCGCTCGGGCTCGCTGAGCGGCAGGATGTCGCAGTGGGTAACACCTGTGCCTCGTAGCAAGAAGCACCTCGGCTCGATTCCTGACTGGGGAACCTTTCTGGGTTGTGTTTGTTTTGAAACCTGTTCCGCATAGATTCCCTCTGGGTTCTCCAGTTTCCTGCCATTGCTGAAAAAAAACCTACAATGTCATTCGTGTTGGCCAAACACCCCAATACAGGACCCTCCTTCAAAAGAGTGTCCGTACTCTGTTATTCCTGGGTAAATAAGTAATTTGAAAAAATTATCGCATGTGCAGATGCAGGCTTCCATGCCTGTAGGATGAATGCCCCCGTTGGGAGAGTGAATCGCTCACTGCCAGCTGTGTGACTCTACCCCCCTGCCGCGCGCCCGCTGGCTGTGCCGTAGGTGTGGTGCGTCTGGCCATGGTCACCACCACCGTGCTGCTCATGTGGTACATGGCCACACAGCTCTTGGACATCCGGCTGGAAGCCAGCTTTCGCAGAGGTGAGGCTCGCCGCAGGTGCGCGCGAGAACCAGCACGTGACACCGCAAGCCTTGCGACGGCGTTCCTGAGCTCACCGACGCCGAGTCTCGGCGTTTAACGCTGAACATTTAACTTGAAGAACACTCCTCTTATCCGAGACCCTATCATCCATACTTCCTTTCATTCGTGCACTTGGCACTATTCACAGTTTATACCACCCACCACCTTCTTCAAGGTCAAGAGGTCATTATGAACAATGCCAACACACACCTTGCCATCGCTTCCCTTGCTCTGCCAGATTGTACAATTGTCACGCAGTTGAAATCGAACCTTAAAACACCACAATTTGTTGTCATTTTGCTGTCCCAGGTCACCCTTGCAAATGATAATATCCTAGTCTCTGGAGTTCTCACCGGGGTTATCTTCACCTTTTGTCTTGTTTCTCTTTTCATTTACAGATCAAGTGACATCGCAGTCAACAAATGGCAGTACGTTGTTTCTTCTCAACTGCTTGGGTTTTTACCTACAAGGGTTTGGCAACTGGATAATTCCAATTGTGATTTCATACAGTGAGGGAAAAAAAGTATTTGATCCCCTGCTGATTTTGTACGTTTGCCCACTGACAAAGAAATGATTAGTCTCTAATTTTAAAGGTAGGTTTATTTAAACAGTGAGAGAATAACAACAACAAAAAAATCCAGAAAGACGCATGTCAAAAATGTTATAAATTAATTTGCATTTTAATGAGGGAAATAAGTATTTGACCCCCTTTCAATCAGAAAGATTTCTGGCTCCCAGGTGTCTTTTATACAGGTAACGAGCTGAGATTAGGAGCACACTCTTAAAGGGAGTGCTCCTAATCTCAGCTTGTTACCTGTATAAAATACACCTGTCCACAGAAGCAATCAATCAGATTCCAAACTCTCCACCATGGCCAAGACCAAAGAGCTCTCCAAGGATGTCAGGGACATGATTGTAGACCTACACAAGGCTGGAATGGGCTACAAGACCATTGCCAAGCAGCTTGGTGGGAAGGTGACAACAGTTGGTGCGATTATTCGCAAATGAAAGAAACACAAAAGAACTGTCAATCTCCCTCGGCCTGGGGCTCCATGCAAGATCTCACCTCGTGGAGTTGCAATGATCATGAGAACGGTGAGGAATCAGCCCAGAACTACACGGGAGGATTTTGTCAATGATCTCAAGGCAGCTGGGACCATAGTCACCAAGAAAACAATTGGTAACACACTACGCCGTGAAGGACTGAAATCCTGCAGTGCCCGCAAGGTCCCCCTGCTCAAGAAAGCAGAGGATAACTGGGTGAAAGTGTTGTGGTCAGATGAGACCAAAATGGAGCTCTTTGGCATCAACTCAACTCGCCGTGTTTGGAGGAGGAGGAATGCTACATATGACCCCAAGAACACCATCCTCACCGTCAAACATGGAGGTGGAAACATGCTTTGAGGGTGTTTTTCTGCTAAGAGGACAGGACAACTTCACCGCATCAAAGGGACGATGGACGGGGCCATGTACCGTCAAATCTTGGGTGAGAACTTCCTTCCCTCAGCCAGGGCATTGAAAATGGGTCGTGGATGGGTATTCCATCATGACAATGACCCAAAACACACGGCCAAAGCAACAAAGGAGTGGTTCAAGAAGAAGCACATTAAAGTCCTGGAGTGGCCTAGCCAGTCTCCAGACCTTAATCCCATAGAAAGTCTGTGGAGGGAGCTGAAGGTTCGAGTTGCCAAACGTCAGACTCGAATCCTTAATGACTTGGAGAAGATCTGCAAAGAGGAGGAGTGGGACAAATCCCTCCTGAGATGTGTGCAAACCTGGTGGCCAACTACAAGAAACGTCTGACCTCTGTGATTGCCAACAAGGGTTTTTCCACCAAGTACTAAGTCATGTTTTGCAGAGGGGTCAAATACTTATTTCCCTCATTAAAATGCAAATCAATATATTACATTTTTGACATGCGTTTTTCTGGATTTTTTTGTTGTTATTCTGTCTCTCACTGTTCAAATAAATCTACCATTAAAATTATAGACTGATCATTTCTTTGTCAGTGGGCAAACGTACAAAATCAGCAGGGGATTAAATACTTTTTTCCCTCACTGTAAGTATTTAGAGTTCCGAGTATTTTGACGAGAAGTCGCCTGCAATATAAATGATAGTGCTTGACCATACTTCACCATGCTGGTCAGTGTGGATTAATGAGAAGGGGGAGCTGGGACCAGTTCAGATATCATTCGCCACTGACTTTTAGGTGTGGCCAGGAATCAAACTCAGCTTTCCAGGTTCATCGTGCACTGTGCCAATCGGTGCGCTGCCGTTTCACTCTGATGAATACATTGGCCATTGTCAAATCAAAATCAATCAATCTTTATTTTACGTACCAGTATTTCCCTGAATAAAGTTAGCATCACTGCACATTGCAACGAATTCATAAAAACAACCACGGCTCTCCAGAAAAGATGCGAGGCTTATGTCATTCAGAAAATATACGCTGCGATCGTTGCCTTGACCTGGCGACACGGGGCTGCTGAGCATTTGGAGGAGCTCGCCGCCGCTCTGCCGAGCCGCTCGCGAAGCCGGGGACCTGTCCCGTGTTCCCCCTTTCCAGCAGCGCCCCGACCCGTTCGCTTCAAGTGCGGCCTCACCGAGCCCTGCCCCGACAAGCACTTCTCCTTCCGGGTCGTCAGCGGCTCGGCCAGCATCGTCGGGCCCAAGATCTGCTTCGAGGACGTCGTGTGAGGCCCGGCAGAGCGAGCCGCTCGCGTTTGCGCAGACGCACACACGCGCCGTGAGAACCGAGCGCCGCCACCGGTGGCGGGTGGGGGGATGCAGCCCCGTTGCGGATATTGAGCAGGGGTCGCTTTGCGACGCACGCGTCGGTGCATGCCTCCCCGTGAGGCACCGGTAGGGAAGGGATTGCCGCACCACGACCGATGTCGCTTCACGTAACTTGCCTAGTCGCTGGACGTTCACCGGTGGTAACGCTCGGCAGCGGTCTGAAAAAAACCTGTTCAGCATCGTGTTTCTGTTCATTGATGACCGAGCACGAGCCCTTGTTGTTTTTGTGCCCTGTTGTGTCTTTCAGACTGATGAGCAGCATAAAAAATAACGTGGGGAGAGGCCTCAACTTTGCTGTGGTTAATGGTGAGTTGTGCGAGTGTTAACACGCGCTTACATTGCGGGGGTATTCGTGGTTTATTATCAACTGTAACGTGTAGCGAGTCCAACTTTGAGTCGCGGACGTTATTCTTACGAGGCAACACATTTATTATATCAACACGTAATACACAAAGGGGTAACTGCCCCTTCACCAGATACAGCCTAGGGTGGTGACCACCCAGCTAACTACACTATACGGAGGAGTTACAGCTACGACGGGTCGGACCCTCACTCGGGTCCCGGCCACTTGTTGATGCTCCTCGTAGGACGTAGAGCTTCCAGTTTGTAAAACGAAGTGACTCTCCCGCTCCCCCTTGTGGGAGCCCGCGCTGCACGCTCTGCGCGGTGCCCGTGCTATCCCAGCGCTCACCAAACCCCGCTAGGGCTGGTACTACACCCATGTACGGGGTGTACGCGATGACGGTGCATCGCACACCGTGCTATGCTAAAGCCGGCATCACACAGGTCAACCCACCCGGTGCTGTCCGCGACGTAGGAACGTCGCACGCCACGACCCTCCCCGGCCGGCACCATACAGTGACATCCCCGATGTCACTGCACATGCATTTCACGGTTGCCCTACGTACGGTGCGAAAGAAGTTCAACACACGTGTATTTAATTTGTTATGTGTCGTGCATTGTGGGAGCCGGCACGACTATCGCGTTGTGATACGCAGTGCATGCTGGGAGTTGTCTACGCTAACCCAGTGAAGATTGGACGCACTCTGGGCGATCTCCAGAGGCAAGGTGGTCGCAGCCCGGGGGGGGGGGGGGCTGTGAGATGGGACTACAGAGACAAATTTAAAAGTTGCTGTTTATGCCAGCAGTTTTGCACTGCTCGCGCAGTGCCGTGCATAGATGTCACTTGAATAATGAAGCACCACCAATTAGTTTTGCTGATGTTTTCCCACTAAGGGTGAAAGCGTTGATGCATGAGCTTTTGGTGAAAGGGTGGCCCAGTGGCAACGTTTGTGCCTCGCAGCAAGAAGGGGCTGATTTCGATTCCCGACTCCGGTGCCTCTGTGTGGAGCTCGCGTGAGCTCTTGCCCTGCTCCGCGTGTTTTCCGGGTTCTCTGGTTTACTCTCATAGCTACAAAAAGCACTCAACGTAACTGGTATTGGGCCAGACATCCCAATGTCAACAAATTACCCGTAAATTACTGACTTGGGAGGACACACTACAACTTGATGGTAAAAAAAAAAAAACAGTGTGAATCAACTAAATCATGCCATGTGCGTGCCACGCTTCCATGCATCGTCATCACGCGTGATGTCACACGCCACCTTAACGCGTGGCTTGGAAGGTATCGTAATTGTCAATAGCTGCTGGACACTTCCCATAACAAATGCTATTTTTACATGGTTAGACAATCCATGAATATGCATGGTTTTGCTTCCTTGTGGTGTTTTGTTTTCTCTTTCCGTAAGCGAGTGCGATGCTTGTGTCCCCCCGCCGCAGGTGTGACGGGAGCCCTCCTCGACGTGCGGACGTTCGACATGTGGGCGGGCGGTGAGTGCGCAGGATGCACAAGTCTGCATGATGCGGCAACACCGCGGTACATCGCGCACAGTTTCAGGGTGGCGGTGCAGTGGTAACACGCGCACCTCGCGGCAAGAAGTGCAAGGGTTCGATTCCTGACTCGGCACCTCTCCGTGTGGAGTCTGTATGTTTGTCCCTCTGTTGTTCAGCATTGCTTTCCTCCGGGTCCTTCAGTTTTTTCTTCTCTAGCTAAAAGAAGACATGCATTCTAACTGGCGTTGGCCAAACACCCCATTGCTTAAAGATTACCTGCGCATTACTCACTTGGGATTGCACGTGGCAACATCGCCCCCTCTGCCAAATCCTGAATAGAAGCTTGAGACTCGCTGAGGCCTCGCTGGGTTAACAAGCTTTGTTATAATATGCGTGGGAAACTGATATTGTGATAATTGTGACGTCGTGAGAAATGATATTGCAGGAACGCCGATTTGGACAAAGCTCTCTAACACGCGAATGCTGTCCAGTTGTACGCTACTGGTGCCCAGGTAGTTTACTCCCACGGATCATTAATTGTAAAAGGAATTAATCGGACTTGGAAAATTCGTGAATATTCAGGCCTTTATCAAATCGCTGCTTCATCAAGCCCTTCCCGCTGGCGTGACTGAGCAGGGAGAGGCGTCGTGAGTGACTGCGCATGCTCGCTGTGTCTGTGTGCTTTCGCGTGTCAGACGTGGAGGAGCTCCTCAAGTTTCTGAGGACCATCCAGCGTGGCTCTATTGTGCTGGTGGCCACCTTCGATGATGGGGCCACAAAGTAAGATCATCTTCGCCACACCGCTGTGACACACATCACTTGTGTGCCATGGTCACGCTCGTCCCTCACTGCAAGAAGGGTATTTGTTTGATTCCCGACTCGGCGGCCTGTTTGTTTGGAGTTTGTATTGTTCTCCCCTTGTTCTGTATACTATTCGTCCGGGCTCTCCGGTTTCCTCCCATAGCTAAGAAAACATACAATGTGTGACCGATATTGGCCAAACATTCCAATGTAAAAACAAAAAATACATCTTCAAATTACTCGGTTGGGATACACACAGCAGCATCATCTCTCCCCCTTGCGCAAAAACTTGGCAGGACCCCTCCTGAAACAAGAGTCTTGAGTCTCGGTGAGCCTTCCCTTGGTAACAAGCATACAAATAATAGCACGAAACTAACATGTAATTGCGAAGGAAGTGGACAGCGTCCCCCAGTGCTGTTTAGATTTCACAACTCTCGGTTTCCCAATCACCGTGGTCTCTTTCGGCGAGGGAGTGGCGTCCCGCGGAAACGGTCCGCTGTTTGTAGAAGCTGTAATACCGTATCTCGTCTTTGAAGCCAACATTGCGTGCACGCTTGATACTTTATGATGACTATGACTCCTACTGTTCCCGTGCACAATTCGATCATTGGGGCGCCCTGCAGGATGCTTCCACCCGTCGGTATCCTCCGACATGCGGTCTTGGGACTTGTGATGGAGCAGCTTTGGTAGCGTTGCTCTGCTCCACTGCATGACATCATCCGAACCAGGTCTTTTGTTTTTCTCGTTCTACCGCTCCCTCGTGAAGCACCGTTTTCAAGAAGTGGGTGTTGCTTCTCATGGCACGGACAAACCATTGCAGTTTCATCTTCATGATGGCGTTAAAGAGAGACACTCTCTCTTTAACACCATCCGCTATTACACGTTGAGTTCATTTATTTAGATGAATCCTCAGGATCCTAGGGTAACATTTCATTTCAAATGCTTGCAGATGTTTTTCTATCTCGGCTGTCAGTCCACTTTTCACAGACATGCATGACATGGCAAATTGTTAATACATTTATTGTTATGCTTGTTACAAAAGAAAGGCTTACTGAGTCTCAAGACTTTTTCAGGAGGGTCCTTCCAAGCTTTCCCGGTTGGGGTTGATGTTGCAGCTGTGTTGTAATGTTTCAGCATTTAGATGTTTGACCAATACCAGTCGCATTGTATAATCCATGCAAACACATACTCTTCCTAAAGCAAAGTGAGGTGGTGCTTGAATTATTTCTGTGCAGGCTCAGCGTGGAGGCCCGTCAGCTGCTGTCCCATCTGGGCAGCACGGCAGTGAACAGCCTCGCGTTCCGGGACAGCTGGGTGTTTGTCGGGGCTCAGGGAATCTACGCCAAGAGCCCATTTGAGCTGGTGAGCGTGGGGGGTAGAGCTGGTGAGCGTGGGGGTAGAGCTGGTTGGTGAACGTGGGGGGTAGAGCTGGTTGGTGAGCGTGGGGGGTGGAGCTGGTTGGTGAGCGTGGGGGGTGGAGCTGGTTGGTGAGCGTGGGGGTAGAGCTGGTTGGTGAACGTGGGGGGTGGAGCGGGTTGGTGAGCGTGGGGGTAGAGCTGGTTGGTGAGCGTGGGGGGTAGAGCTGGTTGGTGAGCGTGGGGGGTGGAGCTGGTTGGTGAGCGTGGGGGGTGGAGCTGGTTGGTGAGCGTGGGGGGTGGAGCTGGTTGGTGAGCGTGGGGGGTGGAGCTGGTTGGTGAGCGTGGGGGGTAGAGCTGGTTGGTGAGCGTGGGGGGTGGAGCTGGTTGGTGAGCGTGGGGGGTAGAGCTGGTTGGTGAGCGTGGGGGGTGGAGCTGGTTGGTGAGCGTGGGGGGTCGAGCTGGTTGGTGAGCGTGGGGGGTGGAGCTGGTTGATGAGCGTGGGGGGTAGAGCTGGTTGGTGAGCGTGGGGGGTGGAGCTGGTTGGTGAGCGTGGGGGTAGAGCTGGTTGGTGAGCATGGGGGTAGAGCTGGTTGGTGAGCGTGGGGGGTAGAGCTGGTTGGTGAGCGTGGGGGTAGAGCTGGTTGGTGAGCGTGGGGGTAGAGCTGGTGATTGTGGGGGGTAGAGCTAGTGAGCGTGGGGGGTAGAGCTGGTGAGCGTGGGGGTTGCAGTGTTGTTGCTTGTATGTAATCCCACTTGAGTAATTTGCAGGTTATTTTTCAGCTTTGGGGTGTTTGCCCAATAGCAGTTACATCGTGTCATTTCATTAGCTATGGGGGGGAAACTGGAGAACCTGGAGTAAACCCATGCCACCCCGCTGCCCAATTCATACGCGCTCAGTGTAGATGTTCACCGTCTCGCCACTTGAACTCGCGTGTGCCTCCTCTCTCCGTCTGTGCGTGACACCGCTAGCATGTGAGGAACAACCAGGACACAAACAAGTACGAAGGCTGGCCCGAAGCCCTGGAGCTTGAGGGCTGTGTTCCCGTGAAGGAGAACTGAAAGGAGGAGGCCTACTGTGAAGGTCACGTGATGAGGAACCACCGTGAAGGAAATGGCAGTTCTCAAGCCACAGAGAGAGGGGGGCGGGGGGGGGGACCCTTGGCTGGTGAGAGATTCTCACGGCCAGTCCAGCTGATGCCACTGCACCTCTCCGCTGCTCACTTCTGCCACATCCCATAGCTGCTGAAACCAACACCCAAGCAGCAGAGCCAGCTCCTGTAATACCCCCCACCCCACCACCACCTCCAGGGCTGTAGAGAGATGGGTGGTGGGATGGGGGGGGGGCTTCAGGGCTTCCCCTTGACCGCAGAGCTGTGGACACCACTCCAATGCCGGTCTCAGCGACCTGCCCTCCTCCCCCACACGTCCCCTCCACCGTAACCTCCTCTTTCTGAATGTAACCCCCCGTCTCTTTTCTGCCACGTTCCTGCCACGTTCTTGCCACGTTCTTTTCGAAACGTCCACGTTGCGAACGTTCTGCCAGGATATTCCTAGAATTCTCCATGTGCAATTATACACGTACGGTAAATATCTTTAAGCCCGGTTTTCTAGATGTTTATAGCAACGTCCACATTAATCCTGTCTATCTCTGATAGGGCATCTTCTCTGTTTTTTTTAAAGTAGGAGTTTATATCGTTGGTGAAAATCAAAGCGGTTTACGTATTCCATTAAAACCCAACTCGTATAGTGCAATACTTAGCTTGAGCTCCTCACACCTCTTATGTAACCGACTGAAATCCACAAAGTCCTCTACTACCTCCACGCTCTCTCTTCCTGCTGACAACCTGAGATGAAGGTGCTGCAAGGGCCCCCTTTCTCAGCAGCATCACTGCCAACAACGTAGTTGCGGGAAGCTCACTCCAAGACCCCCGTCTCTAGAGCCCTTGAGCAGCTCCAAAGTCCCAGCCGAGGTCCTCGCGACCAAACCTCCCAAATTTGCATTATCTACACGCTCCAAGTCTCCCAGCTATCCGTCTGAGCCACTGCGCTCTCCATGATGTCTTCACGGCGACCTTGTCCGTGGTTCGGTGAACACGCGGGTGACCGGTGAAAACGGACGCCTGTTGACGCCGGCTTTTAGTGCAAGTCACTCGGTCGGTCTCTCCTCGATGGCACACACGAGTTCTTAAGCCGCTCTGCTCAACTTATCTTAAATGCCCTAACATCGATATCCCCCGTTCTCTATCTACCAACGGATCCATGCTTGCTTAAAGTCTACAACAACAAAAATCCAAAGATCCTTGCGATATTCCCCGAATTTCATTGCTATCTGCCTGAAAGTGAACGTCAAGATTGATACAGCACAATCTTATTTGTATTATGAATATGATGCTCTTTCACTCAGGACAGTCTCACTAATCAATAATCTTTTCAGGGGCCATGCTTGTATGTGCAAACTCTATCCATTTATTTTCAGGTTATTTTTCAGCATTGGTATGTTTGGTCAATACCAGTTACATTGCGTGGCCTTTCAGCCATGAGAACCAGAAGGAAACCCTTGCAGCGCAGGAGAAGAACATACAAACGTCACACAAAGGCATCCAAGTCGGTCGTTGAACCCAGGTCCGAGTTGCCGTGAGGCGCGAGTATTGCCACTGCGTTGCCACCCCTGCCCCACGCTGTTTCTCAATCGTACTTGCATATATATTTATACCGCAAAGCTCTGCTAAACACCTTCCTCGGAATGCCGAATGAACCTACCTCTAGAGGTATCGCACTTCTCTCTCCCTTTGTCCACGTGGTTTAAAGCCATTGGCGGCCGCTGACGGGATCGGTTCCTATGCGAAGGGCGAGCCGCTCTATTCTCCGCCCTGCCCGCTCCTTCGTGTGGACGTTGTGTAGCGATGGGGCGCACGCCCACGCTGCTTTCCTGGATGTCTCGTTTGCCTCCTGTTGGCTTAATGGTTGTGCGAGCTGCGCCGCACAGTGTTATTTTGCTTTCTGTGGCGATTATTTATTGCAAAGGATTTCTCGCTGCCTCGGCATCAGCTTTGACACAGAGGCCCGCCACCACGCGTGACCGCACAAAGGGAACCGGCGTCTCCATTGCCGTAAGGTGCCCCGATTGGCTCGGCGGGACCGCAGTGGCCATGTCTGAGCCGCAGAGCCGACACCACGGAGGGTCTTGGTACGAACACGGCGTTCGACGGCCGCTGATGGCGCTGGGCTTTCGAGTGTCGCGTGTCGACGGTCTCGACCCATTCGCCGCAGACAACCGAGAAGCCCTTCGCGTTGTTAAACTTGGCATGTCTCGCAATGCCACGCGGGGAATACACGTTTCGGTTTGGTTGTCATGGAATGGGCAATATTTATAGACCGCATAAGGGGAGTGCCCTCGTGTTGAGCGAGGGATATTGGTTTGACTCCAGAAGTGTTGCACCGTTCTCTTGGGTGCGCTGGAAAGTGATTTCATCGCATGGCATGAGACTGATGGCACTTGGAATGTAGCTGAGAAGAAAGATGAAACAAAACTGCGTAAGATTTTTTTTGTATTTCCGCTCCATGAGCAGCAGCAGCACATGCTCGCGCCCACGTGGGTAGGCCTCTGTGTAGCTGTGCCAGGGCAGCAAATAATGTAGCATCATTTGTGTTGTCCGTCTCCTTCCAAAGCGCTTTGGTTGGAAATGTAGAAATGGTTGGAAGGGCCACGCACACTGCCCTCATCGCAGCCTTTAGTGGTTGTGCAAGAACGCACTTTCGGTACAAACTCAACCCATAGTTCCTTGCCATGAGACAGTCGGTGAGGTTTAAGGCCCCGTGTGAAATTGTGCCTTTTACTAAACACGTCGGTATAGGAATAGGTGCATAGGTGCATCTCAAAACGCAAACAAGTATTGTTTTAGTTGCTCTCCTTGGCTGTGTGGTACCATGGGATGAGATGAAGCCTAGTTGAGCAAAATTATTTTACTTCCTAGCCATGTGACTTTTCACCGCTGCAGCGCCCTCTGCTCGCTAGGTGGTGGCCCCGTAAGCTCCCTCCGTGACCTCCTGCCGTGACCCTGGCGTCACGGCACCCAGTGCGTGTTGCAGGGATCCGCTCCAGTTCAGTCGGTGCAGCACTCCCCCTACCTGTAGCTGCAAACCCAGGGTGAGAGGTGATTCAGTAGCTTTTATTTACAGATGCGGATTTCCAACTCCAGCATCGCCACGTATCGATATTCTTTTGACGCTCGTTTATATTGGGTAGCATCTTTTAAAGTACGAAAGGTCAAATCACGGCAGTTACGAATTAAGTGTACTAAAAAAAAGTGCAATATGCTGACGCTGATGAAAGTAAATTAGTTGATTTTGTGAAGGTTGCCTGTCGTGGAAGTCTCGAAGTGCACAGCGAGGATGCTGCTTAAACGCGCGCGAGCCTTGGGCTGACGGCATTGTAAATGGTGCTTTGTTTTTAACTTCATTCATGCCACTTTCCCCGCACAGTGCTGCATAAGTGTGTGAATTTACGTACGATATTTTTTATTTAGAATATTAAAACAATACACTACGCTCTCGGGTGACACTGGTTAAATCGCCTAGCACCACAATTGGAACTTTCGGATCTCAGTCACGGGTCGTCAAAATCGACCATCCTTCAGGAGAGGGAAAAAATGCGTACTTACTTAGGTTTGCATTGCTCATCTTGTGGAGAGCCTCTCTGCTGCCATGGGAATGTGGATTTTGTTGGCGCTGGCTCGTGCTCGTGATGAAGAAGACCTTTTGAGCATTGGAAAATAACTTTTTTCTTTGATCTATAAAATAACTTTCACGTTAAATATGACAATCTTCATTTGAAGTTTTCGTGACTGTAGGAATCCATACTCTTTGGTTCTTTCGGTAAAGTCGACGTAGGTAGAAAATTAATAATAGATCACGACGTTTCACGCAAGCGACCGTCGCTTGTGTTGCGATCTATTAATTAAATATCACAGGCTAAAATTCCATTGAAAAGTTAAACGTGTTACTTTCAAATGCATTTTTTTACAATAAGTCAATCTAAAAAGATGTCCCCTTGCATAAGTGAGCAATGTGGTTCTCCGTAATGCCCATAGGTGACTTAGCCGGAAATTCCACTTTTCATGATGGCAACGGTTTATCCATATGATGACCGCATGATTTCTATACAATGCGGAAAGATGATGTCCAGAGTTGACTAATGGAAAATGATGGTTGGTTCGGCAACATCCAATGCTTCAAGAGCATTTTCAGAGAACGCAGTTGACCACCACACACCTAGGCTTCACATTTGTTCGTGCTGGTGGAGTTCGTGTGATTGTGGTAAATATTAATCGAGTAACAATCCCTGCCAACAGCATCATCATCGCCAATGTGAGGCACTGATGAAAGAAAACTCGTATATTTGGGGAACACGTTTCTTTCCACCCTCTCATCGCACCCTGGGCAGCCTTCCCCCTTACTCTGGGTTGCGATGGCCTCATCTCGTGTTGATTCTGTGGATCAAATTCCCCACTAGGGGGGCTCTCGACAACTCCCGTCACTTGGCAAAAACTCGTAACACTCCGATCACATTTTATGCCCTCTCTACGATCAAATAATAAGTCCTTTTTATTTTTCTTCTTTGGTTCTTTCGGTAAAGTCACGTATCAATTTATTATTTTATTCTCATTCTACGTAACTTTACCGAAAGAACCAAAGAAGTTTACCGAAAGAACCAAAGAAGATGAATCATTGCAGTCACGAAAGCTTTAAATCGAAATTAAATCCTTTTTATTTTCTTCAAGTTTTGCACACCGTCACGGCCTGAGTAGATGAATCATGTTCGATAAGACTTGTGCAAGACATTTGTACTCGGTGAGGCTTATCATATTACCCTGGGAACTCTTGGACATGAGATATTCCATTCAGATAAAATAGTTTAATGAATACAATTAAAAGCATGTACTCCGTGGGTAAGAACATAGCCCACACAGAAATACCGCAGGGTGCTTCTCATCGGAAAGCCCTCCAGTTATACACAAATTCAAACGCGGGTACACAGCAGCCCTGTATGGTTTAATTAACAACTTTATTGATACTCTACCATACTCATTTAAAGAGGTGATCGGGTGGCTCACGGGCCGAGTTGACCCTACCACACACAACCTGCCGATCGACTCGCTGTAGCGAACCAAATTCTACTGCTGCGTTGAGGGGCGGCAGGGGCCATTTAAGAAACTTGAACTGATGTTTGCGGCAAATCGACAACCGGTTTATTTCTATCGTTTATTCGCCATGTGGTTACCGCTAATGGACACAAATTGAGTTTAACAATCCTGATGTATACTATAGACACGGTACACCAGAGGTACAACGCAAATCTGCCGATGAATGAAAAATAATGTTATCAATCAGCTGCTGCCTGTGTAATGTGTGCGATGTGTATCCCTTTAATTATATTTATATTTGACTGTAAGATCAGTTTATAAACAAGTGTTTGTATTTCATACAGGTACGCAGTGACCTTAATTGTCTAGCATTTACCGAATTGGCTTTTAAACATAATTGTTCAATTTATACTACGTAAATAGTCATGTAATTTGCACATTGCCGTTTGAGTGCTGTGTTGTACGTTTAAAGGTCGTGTTTGTTTTCGCAAGTAAAGGTAATTTCAGCACGTCACGTGTACCATTGTTTTTACTACAAGTCACGCGGTGAGCCAGATAGTCCTGCCCTTTCCAGACAACTGATCCTGCCATAGGAATGTGGAATTTACAACACTGGGTGGTGACCTCCACTGGAGATGTCAATCGGCTGCCTGGTGGGTCGCCCTGCTCGTCACGAGGGCATGGGTTGGCACACCTCCCTGGGTGTCCCTGAGCCTGTGGTGGAAATTACCCATTCCGAAAGCATAACACCATTTTACCACTGGAAAACCGGTGACTTTCCACAAAGTGGTACCTATTTTATCTTCAATCTTGATTTGAAGCTTTCGTGACTGCAGGAACCCATACTCTTTGGTCCTTTGGGTCAAGTCACGTAGATAGAAAAATAAAATAAAACAAAATCTATCGTGACGTTTCGATCGCAACACAAGCGGTCCGTCCTCGGGCAGAAAAAAACATTTATTTCTATAAATAACCCCTTGTTGTTGTAACAGCTCTCTCGCTGGTTCAGCAATTCCACTGCTGGATTGTTTCTTTTTCCGCCTGAGGACAGACCGCTTGTGTTGCGATCGAAACGTCGCTATTTATTTATTTTTATTTTCTACCTACGTGACTTTACCGAAAGCACCAAAGAGTATTTTGTCATCCCCGTGGTATGTGGGAGCACATCTCCGCTCTGTTTTACATGTTCTGTCCCAGATGATGTGTGCATTTAGCTGTAATGCCTATGAGCAAGCCACGCTGAATCCACCTCGTCTCATCAGATATCAGAAGCTCAGCTGGTTCGAGTCTGGTAAGTTACTGTATGGGAGACTGCACGGGAATAGCAAGTGTGAAAGTGTCAAGCATGAGTTGGGTGCAGTGGTAATACTCGAGCCTTTCACACAAAATGCCCTGCGTTCGATTCCCGAATCGGGCACCTTTCTGCGTGCAGTTTGTTCTCGCCCTGTTTTCCATGGGTTTCCTCCCACAGCTAAAAAGTATATAAGGGGCCATCCCTAAATGACGTCACGCACCTAGAGGGAGGGGGGGGGTCAGACATTTGTGACGAGAGAGGGGGAGGGGGTGAGAAATGTGACGTAACACCAAAATGCGCAACTTTAAAATAAATATAGACAACACGTTCTACTTAATTAAATATACCTTTTAATGTTTTATCCGGCAGAGTGCAGCGGCACATTAAATACGCACTACAATGACAATAGTTTAAAGCGATTTGAAGCATTTTTTTATTTTTTGGGCGGAGTGGGGGGGGCAGAGCTTTGTGACGTCATATTTGAGGGGGGGTCTGACTTTTTGTGACGCCGTGTGACGATGAGAGGGGGGGGGTCAAAAATCGTCCAAAATCACGTGACGTCGTTTATGGACGGCCCCTAATGCATCTGCTATTGGTGAAATATCCCAGTGGTGGAAAAGGACATGCACGTTACTCGATCGGAATTACACGCAGCAGCAGCAACATTGCCCCCTCCCGACAAAACTTGTCAGGACCCTGTTGGAAAAAAAAAGTTCAGACCAAATGAGGAGGCTTTTCGAAGTAAACAATCGTAATCTTCAAACATTGTACAGTAATTGAATTATTGAATATGTGCAGAGCTTTGCCGGTTAGTGTATCGTATACATGGATTGGATAGCTTATCGCTGATGGACTTATAAACACACACTCTCTGAAATTGTGCGGAGACAAATGGAGGTCAAGCTCTATGACCCGTGCCGCTCCATGACACCGCGGGACATCAATGGGTCTTGTGTAACGTGGACAGCCGCACCTCAGGCGTATCAGGAGGGGGCGCTACGGTTTCTCGGTCAACGGAGGCGAGGAGGCTTCTGGCTGGTATCGGGCAGCCTCACGTCGGCTGGCTTGCCTGGTGGTGGCGAAGGGGAACCCATTTCGGAGCAGTTGTAACCTATTTTGGAGAGCACGGAGGCCTAGCGAATTTCGTTTGAACAGCCCTGGGCCAAGAGAATATTCTCCATGCCTATGGTGGGGGTGAATATCTCGATTGGCCGATCATGGTCCACTTCCCCAGCAAGAAAACCTGGGTTCGACTCCCAACTCGGACATCTCTTTGTATGGAGAGGCGTCCTGCATGGGATTTCTCCCAAGTTTTTTTGTTTTCATCCCATGGCAACAAAAAAAAAACTTGACATTGTATTCTTTGAGTCTTTAAGTAAAGCCACATAGATAGAAAAATAATAAAAAAAAAACATCACGACGTTTCGATCATAACACAAGCAATCGTCATCAGGTGAATTGTTTTATAATGTATTTCACCTGATGACGATTGCTTGTGTTGCGATCGAAACGTCGTGATATGTTTTATTATTTTTCTATCTACGTGGCTTTACCGAAAGACCCAAAGAATATGAATTCCTGCAGTCACGAAAGCTTTAAATTGTCGGAACTTCCCAATGCTGAATATAACCTGGAATTTACTCTATTGGGATTCCACACACGGCATTAGCAACATCACCCACTACACGCCACATTGTAGGACTCCCCCCCCCGTGAACAATTGACAGGACCCTCCTAAACAGAGAGAATAGACACCGAGTGAGGCTTGCCTAGGGTAAACAATCTTAATATCAATACAAATGGTGAGCAAACTCCACAGCACCGGCCGGCGGCAGGAGGAGCAAGTGCGTGTCCCTGAACCCGTAGAACTCGATGCTGATCACGAGATGAGACTGCTGCTGCTGCCGCAGATGACGATTCCACCATCAACAAAGGTGAGAAGCCAGGGGTGAACAAACACGCCGTGTTTGCTTTGGCTACATCAGCGGGCGCGCGTGAGAGCGAGAGAGAGAGACTGCCCAAAGCGAAACACGAACTCGAAGCGCCACTTTGCCTCCGGCTCGCCCGCTCGCCAACTCGGTCTGGATTTGCAGGTTCGATTTCCCGGCGCGGCATGTTTCTGAAATATACTCCTTGCCCCCTGCCGCGGCTATGGGGCCGTCCATAAATGACTTCACGCACCTGGGGGGGGGGGGGGGAGTCAGACATTTGTGACGATGTGTGACGATGGGGGGGGGGGGGGGTGATAAATGTGACGTCACATCAAAATGCGCAACTTTAAATAAATATAGACAACACGTTCTACTTAATTAAATAGACTTTAAAAAAATGTTTCTTCCTACAACATCAGAGTGCAGCGCCACATTAAATACGCACTACAATGACAATAGTTTAAAGCGATTTGAAGCATGTTTCATGTTTAAAATGGAAATATGGTTTTGGTGGCGGGGGGGGCAGAGCTTTGTGACGTCATATGAGGGGGGGGTCTGACTTTTTGTGACGCCGTGTGACGAGGGGGGGGGGGGGTTCAAAAAGCGTCCAAAATCGCGTGACGTCATTTATGGACAGCCCTTTATGCACCCAGCAGCAGAAGTCCGTCCAATACACCGCAGTCGATGGGCAGGTGGGGTCAAGGTGCGCGTACGCCCACCACTTCCAAGAGGTCCGCTCGGCGTGGAAGAGTAGGCCAAATATCAACGAGGGCTCCCTCCTGAGCTCCGCTTTTGCCAGCCGTGGCGTGGGCAAGCGGGCGACGGGAGATGGAAGCCACGAGCTGTCCGACGCTTCCGTTCCGGTGTATCGCTCTCGGAAGCCAACTCGGTGTGATGGGTTCCCCGGGTAGTTCTTGTCACTTCCACTCCGAGCCTCTCCGCCCGTGTTCTCGCCCCGTAGCGGGCACACGACGGCCTCCTCTTGCCAATGACGCCACGGCCATCTCAAACGTGCGCTGTGCGGCACCAGCAAGCAAGTGGTGCGTGCTCGGGCTGAGCGATTAATCGATTTGAAATCGATTAATCGCTATGTGAAACAATGCGATTAGCAGATCGCAAAGGCTGAGATTTTTTTTTGCGATTTGAAAAGTCCTATTACTTTACTCTTTGGTTCTATTCGGTAAAGTCACGTAGGTAAAAAAATAAAACAACAAAAATCACGACGTTTCGGCCACAACACAAGCGGCCTTCATCAGGTGAAGGGACCAGACTGTCTCGAGGACAGCGCTGGAGTGAAACACAGCCAAGTTTCAGACCGCGACCTTTAAGCTGTGTGAGAGTAATTAAGGTGCCTTGACAAAGGAATTAGCATAAAAATTTGCATTTTAATAGGCGGACTTAGCATGATGAAAGGTAGGGAGGGGGTCGACCTGTGCAGGCTGGCGAGGGGGCACGGCAGCGTCCACATGCTGGTGGTGTGGAAAGGGGATTTTAAGCTGCGAAAGTTTGGGGTTTCACTCCAGCACTGTCCTCGAGACAGTCTGGTCCCTTCACTTGATGAAGGCCGCTTGTGTTGTGGCCGAAACGTGATTTTTGTTGTTTTATTTTTTACCTACGTGACTTTACCGAATAGAACCAAAGAGTATGGATCCTTGCAGTCACGAAAGCTTCAAATCTAGAATCCTATTACTTTCTTATTGGAATTGTTTTATTTTTTTATTCTTATAAATTTAACACGTAGGCTTTCGCAACCAATATTATTCATAATAAAGGTTTTTGGGTTAGATCGCGTTATTTACAAATGTGTCGCAACCCTCCACCACCCGACACGGCCAATCAGCAAAAAAAAGTGTCACGTTGTCAGAAGACAAATAGTTCACTACTTTATCCCCACCGGTGTGTTGAAGAGTGAATCCACAACATTTACAATTTTTGAGTACGACGTTTCGCTGGTAATTACATCCAGCATCATCGGGCAATTTGCCAGCATCGTGAGGCCCCCTCCACTTGCTCCCGGTCTTAAATAGAGCAGCGGCATGGTGACGTCATCGTCATTTAACCCATTCAGGTGCAGTGATTTGAGGCGGAGAGAGAGGGGGTATTGTAATTATATAATAGATTAGTAATCAGTTAATTGTTATGATTAGTAATGAGTTGTAGATTAGTAATTAGTTGTAATGTGTATTATTTAATAACTAAACCCAATTACTATAACCACTCAGGTGCAGAAATTAGAGGTGAGGGGGGTATTGTAATTATATAATAGATTAGTAATCAGTTAATT